TAATGCAGGATTTATATCATCAACAGTATCCCTGTCTTTAGCGATTCTTGAGTTTAGGGTTTCTATTTTTCGCGGGACACTTTGACAGAGATCCCGGACTCCATGCCCAAAGTCCCAAACCCGACACACTAAGCCGTACCAGGATCAGGAGACTTAGTGGCCAGACAATCAATAATTAAGACACAAGGACATAAGCTACGCTAAGTGGTGCTATCCTGCTTATAAGCCCACTTACAAGCCCACATACTATGTCCTGTGATCCTCTAAGGATCAAGCCTCAGCCTCTAAACCCGCGCCGGGGGCGGCTTTTTGACTTTCATCGCTTCCAGTGTCTACTACGAGGTATGAAAAGGAGATTCCTGAAATCTGGAAGTTGGGTCGGACAGTGTCCCGCTGTACATGTAGTGTTTGGCCTACGCAAACCCTACTTTTTTGTAGGGGGTCCTCATGATTTCCATATTAGGAAAAGTAGGGTTTGATAGTTTAATGTAGTGTTTGGCCAGAGCTACTTGGAAGCTTTGGTAAGTTGAACCGCCTAGCCGCCTAGTGTTTCCGATTTCATGTTCAGCACTGTTTAGCCGCTTCGCTCACATCACTGCCGCCTACTGCTGCACTGAACCGTCTTCTACCGTAGTGTAGTGTGCTTCTGCTGATGCTGCTGCTTCTGCCGCTGCGGCGAAGCCTGTGACTGTGCCACTTACTACCCCCTCTACACTGTACTCTACACTTCTGAGCGAATGCTGCAGCCTGCCAACAGAACCAACACTGTTCAGTTATGTTCAGGCTGAGATGCCCTGAGATCTGAATCATTTCTGGCGACCCAGATTCTGCAGAATCTCCGAGGACATGAAACGAGTCGTGAGCTTTCGGCGTTGCTTCATGCTCCCATGGACGGTGGACGCTGGCCGCTGGGCCAAACCTCGACTGGCGAATGGTCTCGGGAAAGCTAATACAGATGTAGCACCTTAGGAGTCGTATTAGTAGCCGAAGTAGCGGGAGTAGCGGGAGGCGTAGGAGCAGGAGTAGGCGGAGGAGGGAGAAGGCGGAGGCGGAGGCGGAGGCGGAGGCGGAGGAGGAGGAGGAGGAGCCAGCAGTCAGCGGCAGAAGTAGTTGTAGGTGTCTTTCTCGTCGTTTGTGGCTCTTGCAGTGGTACAAACTAGCAGTCGAACGAGGAGAAGAAGTACCAGCGGCAGCAGGCCATGTTACTGTTGTAAGGTGCGGCCACTGCCGATTGCTAGACGAGTATCACCCTACCTTGAGTCTCGAGTATCGCCCTGCTCAGAATTCAAAAGCCCTCTGCCCAAACCCGAAAATCGATTCCCTAAACAACGAATAATTAGCTCCTACCCCTGAACAACCTAAACCTGTAGACACCCTGAACCCTGTAAGCCCCTCACGCCTAGACTCCTGGAACTCCTAAAGCCTGAGGTTCTTCGGTTGATGATACAACTCCTGCATTACCCATAATAAGGAATATACCATAATTCCCATAGTTTAGGGTCCTTAAGGTCATGCAGGATTTATACCATCAACCGTTCCTCCTGATGACCTGGAAACCACCCAAACTACAGCCCCCCCCCCCCGGCTCCCCTCCTCAAACAAAAAACCTAAACCCCAAAGCCAACCTTGACCCTGAAAGCATACCTTCTCAAGGACTTATAGAAGGAAATGGGGTTAAGATAACCCTCCAACGCAAACTAAACCCTAAACCGCGAATCCTCACCCTTCACAAAATAAACCATCTGCTGCGGGGCCGCACGCCCCGTCGCCTCACTTGCCGAAGCGTCGCCGCTCCTCTGGGAACTCTCCGAGTCCCAACTCCCGTACCTTTTTGTTCGGTGCTTTGGGTTTAATTTTGTTTTTTAGGGTTTAGGGTTTAGGGTTGGGGCTTGGGCTTTAGGGTTTAGGGTTTAGGGCTTGGGCTTTAGGGTTTAGGGTTTATGGCTTGGGCTTCTGGGTTTAAGGTTTGGGCTTTGGGGTTTCCATACTTTTTGATCTTTGCTTTTCGTTGTTTTATACAGTCCTTCTGGGTTTACGGTTTGGGCTTCCAGGTGTCAGCTTTTTTGTTGTTCGGGCTGTTGGTGGTTTTGTAGGATCTAGGGTTTAGGGCTTTCGGGTTCCTAGGGTTAGGTCCAACACTTTTGGGTTTGTAGGCTCTGGGTTAGGGTCCAGGAAATCGGGTAGTTATTGCAGAAGTGAAAATTTGCTAATAAATGCTACATCGCCTCCCTGTCCAGTATCCTCATCTAAACGAACTAATTACAGGCTATAGATATTATCATACCCGTGCCTACGCGACCACTAGGGTCTTGCTGGGCCTTTCTGGCTTTGGTAATGGTTCAAGCCTAGATCCTAAGTCCTGCGCCCTAAACCCTAAACCCTAAACCAAAACCCATGGACCCCAGCCGTTATCCCCGTACCCTTCAGCCTACAGCCCCAAACCAAACAACCGAGATCTTCTCGAAATTAGGGCTCCTAGTCTATAGAGTCCCTTCACCCTAAACCCTAAGCCATCCATTCTTCTAATATGGGGGGGCCAAAGAAACCCCTACTTGCACGAATTTTCGTAGAACCCCCCCCCCCCATACCCCTGAACCATAACCCCTAAACCCTCAACCCTAAACCCATAAGCCCTAAACCCCCCTAAACTTTAAGCCTTAAACCCCCAAACCCCCAAACCTCTGCGAAGCTCCCGAGCCTGAAAAATCTGAAACCCTCAACCCTAGTCCCCAAACCCATACAGTAGAAGCCAGAAAGTTGGAATATCATTATCGTACACCCTTTAAGGTAAATTATTGGGGATCCTACCATTAATCCATATTCCAACTTTCTGGAGTTCCCTTTAAACCCTAAACCCGGGCAGGAGGCGATTTGGGCGGAGCGTCCACGGCCCACGGCACGGCCTAGAGCTGTAAGCACCTTGACGAGACGGAGATGTTAGGGATTTTTAAAAGCCTGTTCAGTAACAAGTTCCCGGAAGGTTTCCTGTGAGGGTTCTGAAACATCAAACAACAGAATCCTATGAAAACCCGGCAGAAAAAAGAAACTACAAATAAACTGTCAAACACCTTACGAAAAAATCCTTTCGAAACACGCTCTCTGCGACCGTGGACAGAACCCCTCTAAACCCTGAACTCCCAAACCGCAAACCCTGCCAAACCCCTAAACCCCAAACCCCTACACTCTAAACCCCGCACCCGTCACCCCGGACACTAAACCCTAAAACCCTAAGCCCCTTTGAACCCCTAGGCCCTAAACCCCCCGCAACCCGCCAGAGATCCAAACACCCCTTAACTAAGCAATATACCTTAAAGCATAGAGGCCTTAATACGATGATGTAAAGTATATGCCTGAATTAAGGGGTATTGGGTTCTCTGGGGGCCACAAATCTTTGTAGATAGGGTCCCTTATAAACCCAAATAAGGAAAATAAAAACTGTCCCAAAATCCAACCTAATAAACCCCTAAAGCCGAGCCGGGCGCGTGCTTGTTGGCCTCGAGGCCCCGGGCGTGAGCTCGCCGGAAGGCTGCCTCTCGCGCTGGATTGGGAGTCTCCAGAATTTTCGGGGTCCTTCAAATGGGTGGTTGTCAAAATTAGGGTCCCTTTTTGGGTCCTTATTATAATACGGCACCTAATGCTTAGGGTACCCGAAAAGGGATCATAATTTTGACAACCACCCAACTAAGGACCCTACTGTTTAAGGTGCTAGATTATACATTTGGGAGATCCCAAAGTCAGGGTATCTTATCTCGAGGTCATTATAATACGGATCCTACTATGTTAGGAAATTAGATTAGCCTTCCCTATGATCAGAAACACCCGTCTCTACTATGAAGATTATGGTTGTTATATGTCGTCATCGTTATCATTACTGTCATTATCATTATTATTCTTATGATTCTGCTGAACCTTGTTGATGAAAATTTTCTTAATAGCAATATTCTTATGAGGATTGTTACTATTAACACAGTTCTCACACTATTATCGGCAATATTGCTGCTGTTTCTAATATACTAATTGTAGTACAGTTGTTACTACCCAGTATTCGCTATGCATTATTTACTCTGGTGCTTATTAACTGCTGCTAATGTTCACTTGCTATTATCGTTACTACTACCACTGCTGCTTCGACGACGACGACTACTACTACTACTCCTGCTGCTGCTGCTCCTATTGCCTTCAAAATAAGTATTGTTGCTATTTGTTAATATTCTTATTGTTACTACTAGTGTTATTATTATCAGCATTACTAATGTTCTTTCTATTACCCTTACTATTATCGTTTATTCGTACTTGTATTGCAACTACTACTACAATTGTTGTTGTTGTTGTTGCGATTCTTGTTATTGTTATGAATCGTCATACTCTCGCTCTTCTGCATAATTACCACAAGTAGCAGCAGTAGTAGCAGAAGTAGCAGTAGTACGTAGTGGAAGTTGTAGTAGTAGCAGTAGCAGTAGCAGTAGCAGTAGCAGTAGCAGTAGCAGTAGCAGTAGCAGTAGCAGTAGCAGTAGCAGTAGGAGTAGCAGTAGTAGTAGTAGTAGTAGTAGTAGTAGCAGTAGTAGTAGTAGCAGCAGGAGTAGTAATAGTAGTAGTAGTAGTAGTAGTAGTAGTAGTAGTAGTAGTAGTAGTAGTGGTAGTAGTAGCAGCAGCAGCAGCAGTAGTAGTAGTAGTAGGTGGTAGTGGTAGAAGTAGCAATGGTAGTGGTAGTGGTAGTCGTAGTAGTAGCAGTAGTAGTAGTAGTAGCAGCAGGAGCAGCTGTAATCATGGTGGTAGTAGTAGCAGCGGTAGAAGTATTCGCATTATGTATCTATCTTGATGTTGATAAGATCGTGATTACCATTATTGGTGTTGCTGTTTGTATTTTAACTTTTGTTGCCATCGTTATGATTTTCTCAGTTATGATAGCGGTTATGATTGCCCTACCGTTTTTGTTCCGCTTAGCCATATTATCATCAGTCTTAGTATCATCAGCCTGACAAATATGTTAGCGTCTGTGTTTAGGCTGTACGCGGTCCTGTAAAGGGCTAGAAAGCTGTTTGATAAAGGGGCTTCATGAGGGCGTTGTGTGGGTTGTTTCGATACTTGCTGAAGTATTATTGCACAGGCGGCTTTGGGGGCTTGGGTCTGGATTTACAGCCTCAGGGCTGAATAGATCAGGGTGCAGCTCTTTAGAATTTTGCAAGTGCTTGTTTGGTATTAGAGTTTGAGGGTCAGGGTAGGCTTTACAGCCTGAGGGTTAAAGGTCTTGGCAGGGCTTAGGGCTCAGAGAATTGCAGAAACGCGAACCTATACGGTTTGGGGTTTAGGCTGTAATTGCCCCTCTGGTAGTACTACGGGTGCACGTGCCCAAACACTGATATACAGGTCTGAGCAGTTCGAAAGCGTATGCCGGCACAGATACAGACATATACATTTACATATACATTTGCATATACATATATGTACTGAATTACACGCCGAAACCTACTGCAATTGTAAGGCCCCCTAGTACTGATGGATCAGTTTGAAAACCTCGGAACTCTCATATAGCCTTTGAAATCCTTCATAAAACCCTTCTGGTCCAGACTAATTAGCAGTTTCGGAAACACCGACGCAAGCCTTAAACCCCGAAACCCCTGAACCGCCTCCGCGCGGTCGCTCTGCCGTGGCTTGGCGCTGGCATATGCCAGCAACAAGGCGTAGAGGAAGTATTCGTTCCTGAGAACCGAACCCCTACCAAAACCGACACTGCGCCCCAAAACTTCAAAACTTAAAGCCCCAACTTTTCATCCTTGACCCTAAACCCGAAAACGCCCAATCCCTGTGCCGGTACCTAAGCCCTGAACAAAATTCGACGGCGGTGCCGTGTCCGTGGGTGGTTTAGACTTGGGCCAAGGGCTTGCTATAAGATAGGGGCCTCAAAAACTTGGAGTTCGGTTTTGTAGTTAGTGCATATTGATCAGTATGCATACTATCACTAAGTTACTAATAGTATGCATACTTGTATTACGGCACCTTTCACCTTACGGATGGAACAGCAGCATTTTTGTTAAACTCCGAGCCCTACATGAAGGAGGCTTCGGTCTGGCGGTTCGTTTCGGCTCCTTGAGGTCTGGGTCTCTCCTGGACTTTGACTATAACCCCCAAAATAGTAGTATTCATATAAGGAACCCTAATAAAGGCCCAAGGTTTCTTAATCAGATTCCTACATTAAGGTTAAACGTTCATGGGACTTAGTAGCTAGGGTTATACTTACCTTAACCCCGAAAAACCTACCTTTTTAGGGACTTATATAAAGAAATCATATTCGGGGGCCCTGAAAAGGTAGGTTCCTTAGGGTCCAGGTAGGGTAACTGTACTTATAACTACTTATAACCCCAATTAAGGTACTTATAACCTGACTTACTAAGTCCCATGATCCTCCAAGCAGTTTGGCACATTGACTGGGGCTCTCATTTTGGCACATTGGCAGGGCCCTACACCCCTAAACCTTAAAAAGGGGCTGGTGTAAGGCTTCCTAAAGCGGATTCCATAAGGGCGGCTGCAGGAGACGCTCGGAGTTTAAGGTTTCTGGGTTCTGGGCTTTCGGTTTGGGGCTTAAGCTTCGGCTGATCAAAAAAGCTTCGGTGTGCTTGCACTCAAAGCTCCTACAGTACATTCCTGAGACTTTGTGTGGTTAAGAACCCAGGACTACTTCGTCAGGCTCCTATGCGAAATTTACACCATCTGAGTCCGAACTTAAACATCAACCTCTTCCGAACCTATATGAACATGTATAGGAACCTATCGGAAAACCCCAAAGACCTAAACCGCCTAAACCGGAACCCTGACCGAACACTTACAGGAATTACCCTAAACCCTAAACCCTAAACCCTAAACCAATTATGGAGCCCTTATGCATTCCGGATGAAGCCTTAGGGACCCGAACCGTCCCGTAAGCAGCCGCGGCACATCTCTAACCCAGCCTGCCCCATGTCCTGTGCGAAGCTCTCCACCTGCCCAGACAAACAGTCATAGGGATCCTTACAGGTGTAGGGGGGAGGGGTGTAGGGGACTATATTTCCTTAAATAGGGCTTATTAGTCCTTATTAAGGGCCTTAAGGCCTCCTACCCCCCCTCCCCCTACACCCCTAAGGATCCCTATGAAACAGTTGATGATCTGTAAGGGTACCTTTAAGGAGGGTTTAGGGTTTAGGGCTTCAAGGGGATCTATAGGAATCTAGGGCTTAGGGTTTAGGGATATAAATCCTGCGTTATCCATACTTAGGAATATACCATAATTCCGCATAGTTTAAAGTCCTTAAGGTAATGCAAGATGTTATCATCAAACCCTAAGCCCGAAGCCCCCGAAACCCCTCTAAACTTTGAGCCTTTAAACCCAAAACCTCAACCTCTCCACACCTTTCTAAGCCCCATGCCCAAAACCCTCCAAGCCCTAAACCCACTCTAAGCCTTAAGCCCTACACCCGAAAGCCCAAAACCCTAAACCCGAAACCCTCTAAGCCCTAAGCCCTAAACCCGAAAGCCCGAAACCCTAAACCCGAAACCGTCTGAAAGCACAAAATCCCCTTCAAAACTCTCCCTTAACCCTGAATAACATACCTTTTAAGGGATCCTTATTTTCATTTCGCTGTTTAGGTGCTGAAAAGGTAGGGTATTCGGGGTTAAGGTCGATCCTCTTCGTGGCACCTTCAGAAGCCCGCCTCTCGACGACTCTTTACCAGCCCAGCTATAGGTTTAAGGGCCCAGGGGTTTAGGGGTTTAGGGGCTTGGGGTTTTTAACCCTGACACCGCCAGCCTTAAACCCTAACGTACAGTCTCAGCCCCGCCTCCTGCCACTCTCCACGGTGCGCGAAGGGACGGGCAAGGGAGGCATAGGCGACGACGTTGGGGCGCACACCGGCAGCCTTCATCCTGTTTGTGGAACAGGTTTAGGGCCTAGGGTTCGAGACGGTTTAGCTGGGGAGGGAAGGCGGAAGAAAGGAGAGTGAGTAGAGCTTCCATTACAGATCGGACCGCATAGAGAGAACCCTAAATAGTAGGAAACCTCCTTGTAAAGGACCCTAGTAAGGGAACCCCACAATAGCTTTCTAAAGCCCTCAGATAACTTGTGTGCTTGTGGAGTTCAAGGATTCGTTGGAGCGAATTATACAACTACAGGCAGGAACCCAAAGGAATGGAATACATTGGTAAGTATCCAACCCCCCCACCGAACACGCCTGGCGAAGACTTCCTTGGATCGTTCCAGGTCGCCGGCTTTGGCGCAGGCATCCAGGAGACCACTGTAGACCTCGACTCCCGGGCTTGAGGTTTAGGGTTTAGGGTTTAGGGTTTAGTGGCAAGGTTGCAGGGTTTGCTGTAGGGTTTAGTGTTGTAAGGCTTACAGTAGAAGCCAGAAAGTTGGAATATCATTATCGTAACCCCTTTAAGGTAATTTATAGGGGATCCTACCATATATCCATATTCCAACTTTCTGGAGTTCCCTTTAGGGCTCGGAGTTTAGGATTTAGGGCTGCCAGGTTGTAGGGTTTAAGGTTTTAGGGCCCCAGGACACAGGGCTTCAATCCTAAACTCTAAAGCCTAAACCCTAGACGATGCCGACGAGGGACTCGTGGAAGCCGGTGAAGAAACCGCGGAGGAATTTCAGAAAATTCCGGAAGGCCCCTGCTTCAACCGTAGCTGACCCATTACCCTCACGTAAATTACAACAAGAACAGCAGGCGGCTTAGGGTTTGAGGTTTTAGGGTTTATGGGTTAGGGTTTGGGGATTAGGGTTTAGGGTTGCGTTCAGCCCTAAACCCTGAACCAGCCGAGCGACCACGACGTCCGCCACCACTCCAGCATGTTCCATGCGATCGAACTCCTCACAAGCGGCCACCACCTCGCAGGGAATTCGAATAGGTTGAGGGCTCAGGGTTTAGGGGTCCGAGTATTCTCTGAAGCCTCGGCTTAGCCTTTCAGATTCAGGCTAGGTTTGGGCTTCCCGAGAGCCTCCAATAAAACCCATTAACTAATTGAGGAATATACCTCAAAATATGACGGGATCCCTAATATGACTTAAAGTATCCTTAATCAAGGGGTTTTGGAGTCTCTGGGTCTGACCAGGTTCTGGATGGGGAGTTGAGGGTCTTACGGCTCGACCCGACACCGCAAACCCAAAGCCCCACAACCCTCTGGACCTCCATAAAACCGCCGAAACCCTTAAGACACCCTAAACCCTAAACCCTTAATATAGGGGCCTTAATAATTTCAATAGGGTTTTGGGGCCGTTTATACTACAATCATAACAAGGAACTCCCAGAATGGTATCGGTAATCATTTAGGCCGCTATACTACTTGGAGGGTCGGGGGACTTAGTAACTGTTTTAGGGACTTATAAGTACCATAACCTTATAAGTCTACTTACCACCTACTTACTAAGTCCCGCGACCCTCCAAGCAAGGCCCTAGAATCCCCTTATATAAAAGACGAAAAAGACATGCAAGGTCCTCGCTGGAAGCCCCTATCAATCCCCCCCCATAGACCATTTCGGCCGCTATACTAACCCTTAAGACAACCAAAAGACCTCTGAAACCTCCCAGGCCGGTCATTCCCCGCCTTGCCGCTCTTGGCACAGGCCTCAGAGCAGGGACAAAACATCCCCGGGAGTTATAAGGGTTCCTTTAAAGGGATCTATAGGGATTCTATAAAGGGTATAGGGTTTAGGGCCTACTTGGAGGTTCATGGGGAGTTCTAAGTAGGGTAAGTATAGTTATAACCCATATTAGGGTTGTTATAACCCCACTTATAGCTACCCATGAACCTCCAAGTACAGTAAACCCTCAACCCAATGCCCTAAGCCCTAAACCCTAAGCCCAAAACCCTAAACCGTAAAGTTGGAAACCGGAGTAAGGACAAGTAGTGCTGGAATTCCCTGTGCAGTACTCTTAAGGATTGAGGCTGTTGGGGTTCCAACTTTTGGGACTTCTACTGTATGCTTATATTGCACAACATACCCCAAACACTATTCTGAGCATCAGGGCCTGTATATGGGTACCTCTCTGAATGAGGGCCCCTTTTGAGGTTCGCGCAATCGTACGGCACCCATATAAAAACGACATAGTAGGTACCTTAATTTAAAAAATCCCACATAAGAGTCTGATTCCAGGGACTCACTGAGACTTGGTAAGTAGGTTGCAGATGGGATCGTAGGTAGGACGACCTCAACCTCAACCTTAAACGACAAGCCCTTAAACCCCTGGACCCCTACAACCTAAACCCTAAACTCGGAAACCCCCAAACCCTAAACCCTCAACCAACTCTACTTGTGGCCCAATTTGGAGGTCAATGGGTAGCTAGAAGTGGGGTTACAAGTCCCCTAATATGGATTGTAACTATACTTACCCTACTTATAGCCCCACTTATAACTACCCATGAACCTCCAAGTAGGGTACGAGAGAACAACAGACACCCTTGTTAGCATGATGTCCATTTAAGAAGGTTGCATGTTGAACTGTGAATACCTGCCTAACCGAACCTTTGTCCAACTCCTAAACTAAACAACCCTTTACGCAACCCTCTAAACAATTACAGAACTCACCCTGCACCCCAAACCCTAAACCCTTGCAGAACTCCCATCTTTGACTGAGCGCGTTGATCACCGCACTGAAGCTGTGCGCGTTGGGCTGGACGCCGGCCTCAAGAGACGGGAGCAAGGCTTGGCAAGAAATAAGCTCAGGGTTTGAAGTTTAAGGATTTAGGGGATTATGCAACACGTCTGCGGGCCATCCAAGTGAGGAGCACTGAAAGATGGGTTTTACGGGTTTAGGGTGTAGGGTCTATACGGGGCTGATAGGACCTTGCATGTCTTTTTCGTCTTTTATATACGGGGATTCTAGGGCCTTGGGCCTCAAGCCGCAGGGTTTGGAGCTTAGGCTTGTCCTCGAGTCTCTGGGTTTGGGCTCAAGCTGTGGGATCAGGATACATTGTTGAGTGGCTAGCTCGATTACAAACGAAAACTGACCGAGAGAGATTCAGAGGGACAGGGGAGAAAGAAAGAAAGAGAGAGAGAGAGAGAGACAGAGAGACCGACCAATGAGCCTCTTGGTGGAACATGGGGGTTTCCGAATATAGGGGATCCTAACATAGTATCCCAAATAGCAGGATCCCCTTTATAAGGACCCCAAAATAAGGTACCTCTAATTTTCGGAAACTCCAATATCGAAACCCCACATGATTGTGAGCCCGATTGTTTAGAACCACCGGGCGAGTCTTTGCCACCAAGAATAAATCATGAAAACACCGTCCAACACCCTGGATGTAAATCCCGGACATCCGCAGCCCGCTAAAGACCACGTAAGAAGATTATATATATATATATACATACATATATGGATACATATCTACATAGATACATAATCCACACGTCTTGTTTTGTTTACGCATGTATGTACCTGTAGTTACGTTGTACACCTCGAGCCCTGGAGGCCTCGGTATGCCTCGGTCCTACTTGGAGGTTCATGGGTAGTTATAAGTGGGGTTATGGAGTTCCTTCCAGGGTTCCTTTAAGGGTTCTGTAGGGTCTAGGGATAGTTATAAGTGGGGTTATGGAGTTCCTTTCAGGGTTCCTTTAAGGGTTCTGTAGGGTCTAGGGATCGTTATAAGTGGGGTTATGGAGTTCCTTTCAGGGTTCCTTTAAGGGTTCTGTAGGGTCTAGGGATAGTTATAAGTGGGGTTATGGAGTTCCTTTCAGGGTTCCTTTAAGGGTTTTGTAGGGTCTAGGGACAGTTATAAGTGGGGTTATGGAGTTCCTTGCAGGGTTCCTTTAAGGGTTCTGTAGGGTCTAGGGATAGTTATAAGTGGGGTTATGGGAGTTCCTTTCAGGGTTCCTTTAAGGGTTCTGTAGGGTCTAGGGATAGTTATAAGTGGGGTTATGGAGTTCCTTTCAGGGTTCCTTTAAGGGTTCTGTAGGGTCTAGCGATAGTTATAAGTGGGGTTATGGAGTTCCTTTCAGGGTTCCTTTAAGGGTTCTGTAGGGTCTAGGGATAGTTATAAGTGGGGTTATGGAGTTCCTTTCAGGGTTCCTTTAAGGGTTCTGTAGAGTCTAGGGATAGTTATAAGTGGGGTTATGGAGTTCCTTTCAGGGTTCCTTTAAGGGTTCTGTAGGGTCTAGGGATAGTTATAAGTGGGGTTATGGAATTCCTTTCAGGGTTCCTTTAAGGGTTCTGTAGGGTCTAGGGATAGTTATAAGTGGGGTTATGGAGTTCCTTTCAGGGTTCCTTTAAGGGTTCTGTAGGGTCTAGGGATAGTTATAAGTGGGGTTATGGAGTTCCTTCCAGGGTTCCTTTAAGGGTTCTGTAGGGTCTAGGGATAGTTATAAGTGGGGTTATGGAGTTCCTTTCAGGGTTCCTTTAAGGGTTCTGTAGGGTCTAGGGATAGTTATAAGTGGGGTTATGGAGTTCCTTTCAGGGTTCCTTTAAGGGTTCTGTAGGGTCTAGGGATAGTTATAAGTGGGGTTATGGAGTTCCTTTCAGGGTTCCTTTAAGGGTTCTGTAGGGTCTAGGGATAGTTATAAGTGGGGTTATGGAGTTCCTTTCAGGGTTCCTTTAAGGGTTCTGTAGGGTCTAGGGATAGTTATAAGTGGGGTTATGGAGTTCCTTTCAGGGTTCCTTTAAGGGTTCTGTAGGGTCTAGGGATAGTTATAAGTGGGGTTATGGAGTTCCTTTCAGGGTTCCTTTAAGGGTTCTGTAGGGTCTAGGGATAGTTATAAGTGGGGTTATGGAGTTCCTTTCAGGGTTCCTTTAAGGGTTCTGTAGGGTCTAGGGATAGTTATAAGTGGGGTTATGGAGTTCCTTTCAGGGTTCCTTTAAGGGTTCTGTAGGGTCTAGGGATAGTTATAAGTGGGGTTATGGAGTTCCCTTCAGGGTTCCTTTAAGGGTTCTGTAGGGTCTAGGGATAGTTATAAGTGGGGTTATGGAGTTCCTTTCAGGGTTCCTTTAAGGGTTCTGTAGGGTCTAGGGATAGTTATAAGTGGGGTTATGGAGTTCCGTTAAGGGTTCCTTTAAATTTAAGGGTTCTGTAGGGTTTAGGGACAGATATAAGTGGGTTAGAAGTAGGGTAACTATAGTTATTATCCATATTCGGGGACTTATGACCCCACTTATAACTTATAACTGCCCCTGAACCTCCAAGTAACCTCATTAAGACAACAAGCCTAGAAAAGCGTGCCATGCAGACCTCATATATGCTCAAGTAATCTTTCATGCAACGCTCACATGTATGTGCCTGTAGTTTTTGGTTCAGACTCTTACCATCGCCATCATCATCATCATCAACACCTCGGCCATACACCCTAAACGCTAATACCCGAATACCCTGAGTCCTCTCGTTATGATACGGTTGATGATATAAATCCTGCATTACCCAAAATTAGGAATATACCATAATTACCATAGTTTAGGGTCCTTAGGGTAATGCAGGATTTATATCATCAACAGTAGGTCTTATAGCTGAGCAACATTTTGCATTCGCTGGTGCCATCGCTGTGCTCGCACGGCATCTCCAACCTTCAAGAGCCACTAAGCGAAGTCTTGGGGGGTGAGAGTTTACTTACCTTTGGTTAGTACGGAATGGAAGAATTTCAGAATGGTAGTAATAGTAGCTATAATTGTACCCCATTCCTCCATTCCCTACTAAACTACAGGGGTAAGTTTAGGGTTCCAAGCCCCCAAGACTTCCCCATAACGCTTAAAACCTTCCATCGGTTATAGTACCCTTAAGGGAGGGGGGTCCAAGGGGGGTACATAGCCTAGTGATCCCTAGCTCTCCCTAGTACTCCCTAAGGTTCCCCTAAGGATTCCTTGTACCTTCCCCCCTTGAACCACCCCCCCTCAAGGATCCTATAAATCGGCTCGGGCATTGTCGCTTTCCCTTGCTTTGTTCAGCAGGTATGCAGGCCAACACGTTTGCAAAGCTTGAACCTCGAAAACCCTAAAAGGCAGAAAGCCCGAACCCCCACACCCTAAAGCCCTGAAACCAGAAAGCCCTTAACTCCGAAACTATCGAAACAAACGACAGATCCCTTGTGGATCCCTTATAGAACCCATATAGCGCCCGTAACTAAACCCCGGATACTCATCCGATCATCCGACAGGCCGTATGGCTTGAGGAGCCAGCTGCACAAACGTCATGACCAGAAGCACATCGTCAAGAGAAGCTCGTCGTCACCAGCTACCCCGACAGTTAAGGGCTCCTCTGGAATGCGTAGGTAAGACAGCTCTCTCTTGACCACAATGATGTAGCACACATGAGTCACCGTATTCAGCAGCATGGTCAGGCGTCGCCCAGATATGTTGCGGTTGAACACCCGGAAGCCAAAGCAACTTGGATCTTGCTCACTCTGCTTCCGAAAAGCAGGTTTGCCGCGATCCATGAACGTTGTCAAATCGGCCAACACCAGCCACCAGGACGCAGCTGCTTTCTCAGGGTTGCCCCGCTTTGCAAAAGCAGTCGCCAACCCGCGTGTCAGAGCCACCGTCCCCTGTCGACTGATTTTCTCGTTGTATGCCTTAATGTCCGAGCACACGCTGCGAAACGCGCCCCTCGCAGGCGGTCTCAACTCTCCCATGATGTTGAGCAGCCGGTGGCCGTTGGCGCCTCCAGCATTCCGCAGGATCGAACCCGCATATCAGGAGTTTAGGTTTAGGGTTTAGGGCTTAGGGTTTGGGGCTTAGGGTAGACTTTGTTTGCTGAAGCTTGATTTGGGATGACATGAAGGTCCACAGGACCAAGAAGATAGCTCAGAAGTAGGGTAAACTGGCGGGTTCTTCTAGCACTGCCTAGCCTTCTAGGTCCACCTATTCTGAGGAGTAATATAGGGGCCTTAATAATTAGAATAGGGTTTGGGGGCCCATTATACTATAAATATACGAAGGACCCCCCCAAATAGTATAGGTAGTTATTTAGGCCCCTACAGTACCATGCCATCCATAAACCGGGGTTCCGATCAAGATCTTGGAGCTTAGTGCTTCGGGTTTAGGGTTAGGGCTTGGTGATGGGGTCTAGGGCTTAGAGTTCTGGTGAATCAAAGGGGAAAAGGAGGGACCCTTAATGGGGACCCCTAGCCTATAATGGGCTATATAGTGGGTATATAATGGCTATATTAAGGATATATACCTAGGGGTCCTTATTAAGGATCCCTCCTTTTCCCCTTCGAGTACTGAACTTTGTATGGAAAGCATCTTTCTTTGACGAAGTTTTTCTGGGTTGGCCTTTAAACACCCTGAAAAATATACATATATATATATACATATATATATATATAGGGCCCCTTATAAACCCAAACAAGGACAAGCAAAATGTGCCAAAATCCAACCTAGATTAGTGCAACTGAACTTTGTATGGAAAGTATCTTTCTTTGAAGAAGTTTTCTTCAGAGTAACTTCAAGTAAGGTCCTGCACAAGAAGCCACAGGGAAACGCAAGAGAAGCTACTTGACCACTTGGAGGTTCATTTGGGGTTGTAACTGGGGTTATAAGTAGGGTAACTATAGTAACCCATATTAGGGGACTTATAGCCCCACTTATAACTACCCTAAAACCCTAAATCCTATAGATCCCTTAAAGGAACCCCCTTTAACCCAACTTATAACTACCCATGAACCTCCAAGCAGAGCACAAAAAGACTGAGTCCCAAGCGTGTGTGTGGGGCGGGGGGATTGCTTTTGGGGGCCTCGGGTTCTTGGAAATCAAGGGTTTAGGGTTTAGGGTTTAGGGGATTTCGTTTATTGTTTGAAGGGCCCTTTTCTGAGGGTTTCGGGTTTAGGGCTTTGGGATTGGATAGTGCTTGTACGGAGTTTGGTTTTCGGGAGCTTGCCTTGGCGCAGGCGTCGATCATCGCCGAGTAGCTGACAACATTAGGCTCCACTTTTGCCTCCTGGGTGCCGTTACTAACCCCCTAGACCCTAAACCGAAGCGTTTAGAACGGGACCTTTAAACCGAAGCTTCTTAAACTGTGCCTCCAACGTTTAGTGTCTTGGAAATAGGCATCCTACAATCTAGCTGCGATCTTTGCTATACCCCCCTTTGAACCCTTATAAAACCAATATGGTTAATAGTCTCTTGGGTTTTATATGAACAAAAAAATTTCCTAAGGAGACTATAGCTTGATAAGGAGGAGCGATCGTGGGTTCCGAGTTTGGGGACAGAGCCCCATGAGCTCCAGGCCAAGACCATTTGGGAGTTTCCGAAAATAGGGGACCCTAATATAGTACCCACAGTAGTAGGACCCTTATTATGAGGACCCCAACATAAGGTACCTCTAATTTTTGGAAACTCCCATTTATGCCTGGGGTTGGGTTTTTTCAAGAAAAACCGATGACCAGTCTCCGCAGCGACAGGTCTCCCTCTTTAGAGGTCTGCATTAAGGGCTGCCTCAGAAGCTTTCTCACTGAACTTCAACACAGTCTCTGAGGGTTTAGGGTCTTGGGTTTAGGGCTTAGGGTTTTGGGTTTAGGGTTCGTGGGTAATTAGTTATAAGGGGGGTTATGATAAGTAGGATTTTTATAGTTACATCCAATGTTTGGGGACGTGCCTCTCCATTTATAACACCCCATGAACCTCCAAGAAGGGTTTGGCCTTCGGCATCTCAAACCCTAAACGCCGCATTCATGAGGTCAGCGACGCAATTGAATCCCCGAGTAGGGAAAGCCCCAAGTGCTACAGCCCTGAACCTGCAGCACTCTCGACATGATGCGACATATAAGAACCCTAAACTTTAATTTGGAATACACGTCAGCCCCCCCCCCCCACACACACACAAAAAAAAAAAAAAACTATGCAGAATGGCAGTCTGGAATTGCGCGAAGGTCTACAACGAGGGGTTTAGGAGGCTTCAAGAAGAGTTGTGGGTTCTCGGTTGAAGTTTCAGTGTTTCGGGCCTAGAGTTCAGCTCACGGCAAAAAACAAAAAATGCAAGCCAGGCAAAACGCAGGCAACCGTCCTTCATCTTCTCCATCCACTTCTCAGCTCGCTCCACATCACCGCTCTTGGCCTTCATGGAACAGAGTAGTGCACTGTGCAGTCCATACTGCTGTGACGTTGTGCTAATTGTAGTCTTCATTATAGCATTCCACAGTACCAGTTGTCGTGGTGCGGAGGTCGTGGTATGATGTTGACTGATTAAGAGATACAGGCCTTCAAGATCCTTAAAAGGCTCACTGCAGATTGTAGGAGTCTTTGGCGCTAAACCCTAAACCCTAAACCCCAAACCCTAAACCCTAAACCCCAAACCCCAACGTTTGGGTTCATTCTGAGGGTCGGCGGATGCAGGCCTGGGAATCCCAGACCCTCCAAAATCCCTTAATTAAGGAATATACTTTAAATCATATTAGGGATCCTATTATAATTTGAGGTATATTCCTTAATTAAGGGATTTTGGAAGGCCTGGGAATGTTTCCTTTCACTGATTCTACTTCTGTACGTCGACTCCTGCGGACTCTGTGTCAAGAGATTCTGGGATCCCTAGCAGCTCCTTATACAAGGGTTTAGGGTTTAGGGCTTGCTTGGAGGGTCGGGGGACTTAGTAACTGGTTCTTTTAGAGACTTATAAGTACCATAACCCCAATTAGAGTCCCGTTTAGGGTACTTACAAGTCTACTTACTAACTACTTACTAAGTCCCGCGACCCTCCAAGTAGGGTGGGGTCATGAATCCGGGGGTCTACTGACTACAACACTTCGAAAGCCCCATCACTAAACGTCAAACTTGTAGCTACCCGTTCGATCCCTGAGCCCTGAACCCCTGGACCGGCCTACCCTAAGGCTCCAAAGTAGTTCCTTTTTGAGGTTGATATACAGAACCCTATAAGGTAATCCCAAAAAGGAACTACTATGGAGCCTCTGGGTACTACCCAAGTTTTCTGATGTGAGGTTGAGAGCTTTAGGACTTCAGGTTTAGGGTGCCGCGGAGGTGGCGGTTCGAAAACGAGTTCTATTGTGCCTGGCAGTTTAACGCCTTTTGGGGTTAGGGTTTAAGTTTTGGAGTTTAGGGTTTGGGGTTCTGCGCGGCTGCGTGGGTCTTATGTTAGTGTCTTCAACGGTTGATGCGTATTGCTGAGCTCCGAGCACAGGCATCCACCACGGCAGTGTAGGTGGTCACCTGTGAATGCTGCAGGCAAGAAACGTGCAGAGAAAGCACGCTAAAGCCTCCAACACGTAAGCTGCAAGACCCTTTTCAAGTCCATATGACAAAGCCAATGAAATCAAACAGAAAAGCACACCAACACGGCAACGAGACTTCGAAACAAACTTGCACAACTGTAAACTCTAAAACCCCCGAACCTCAACCTCCAAACCTTAAGTGCCCTAAAGCTAATCCAGGGCCCTACACCGTGAATCCGAAACCTTAAAAACCTTAAGCCCTAAAAACAGTGGCCTTAGTAATTAGAATAGGGTTCTGGGGCCAATTATACCAATGTTATAATCACGAACCCCCAAAATAGTATGGCAATTATTGAGGCCCTGGTCCTACCCCCGAACCCTAAAACCTAAACCCCTAAACCCCTTAACCCTGAACCTTGTACCCTAAACCCTAAAGCCCTAAGCTACCCCCGCTGCAATTTTCTCGACCGGGCGGCTCGCGGCGAGAGGCCACGCTGCTCGGCCTCGCGCAGCCAGCGCTCGGCGCTAGCAGCGTCGCCTCCGGCACTACGGTTTGGTACAGGGAAAAAGTTTAGGGTTTAGGGTTGTAGAAAAAATTAGGGTTTAGGGTGTATATGGGTTATGAGTTTTTTACGACCGCTATGCGCCAATGCTGTTGTGATACAAGAAAAATCGTCGTGCAAAGCGCGTAAGCGCTGCCGCCAAGCGAGCGGAGTAATTAGCTGGGGTGCTTCTGAAGGTACTGCTTCAAACCCAGAAAGTCTACTAAGTGGTCGCGATCTGTAAACTGTGTAATGCGGCATGATCCAAGTGGTCTGAACTCGGGAGCCAGCCCATCGGTATCCCGTGCCGCGCCATGCCCGTGCTGATGCTTTGATCATCATCTCTCGGATCGAACGTTGGGATCACAACCTTCAGGTCTGTGAGGCAAGCAGCGAGCACTTCGGGGTCGCCGTCCCACATTGTCAGTGTAGCGCTTGATATTGCTCGGTCGACTGTGCACTGTCGATCCATATTCGGCGGTCATGAAGACATGTCTACATTTCGGCTTCGTGCGCGTGTCGAAGATCCCTGGTTCTCAGCGGGGAAATTCTCCATTGCTGAGCCGGAATGCGTTACCGCAGTCTCAGGTATCCGGTAGCATGGGTTATGAGTTAAGGGTAGTTTAGGGTTTAGGGTTTAGGGCTTCGGGTTTAGGGCTTTAGGGAAAAAGTTTAAAGTTTGGGGTTTAGGGGCTTAGGGCTTAGGGAGCAGAGATTTACGGATCAGGAACCCTAAACTCTGAACTCAAGCACTAAATCTCTAAGGTACCGCTCGCTGTTGTGGCCGTCTTATTTTTCAAAAGTAGCGGGTGGGGTCTATTGTTACCGTTGGGTTTTATAGGATTTAGCTGAGGGTTTCAAGATCTAGGGCAACGGGTCGAGAAAGAAAGTCCCAACTAACTGCTGCGAATTCAAGCAGAGACCGAGTTGATTAGACAAACGTAAGAACAGCAATAGTTACCATCACCACCACAACCGCAACTACAAGAACAAGAACAAGAAGCTGGACGATGACGAGAACCACGACGACGACAATGATGGTAATGCTAGTAGCACTGATGGCATTAGGAACAACAGTAAACGTGATGAGGCTGGCAGCTAGCAGTTCATGGGGGCAGCATAAGTGGAAATGTCATCGAACGATGAAGAACGGGTGATGCTGAGCTAGTCGTAACTTGGGCAAATAGGATAAAGATGCGGGGGGCAGAATTTGAGGATGGGTTTGCGGTCTAGGATTTAAAAGTTCAGCGCCTAGGGTGTGCTCATCAGCAACGAAGCTGATGAAGCACAACGATTTGTAAAGGCAACAACGCGGATACTACGATAACTGGACGTCATACGTACCCGCGTCGTCTAACGAGCATACTACGTCCCGTAACCCTCAACCCGAAACTGTGGTGGAGTTGGAAGCCTATAGTCAGCAAAGCCTAAACTTACACACTGAAACCTGGAATGCCAAGCCGTTCAATTCAACCTTCACCATCAGAAACCCGAAACCCTAAACCATAAGACCCCAGTCAGCTCTGCGCGAACTTCCCAAAACATTAGAACCAAAAACCCTTGCAGTATATAGAAGCCCAAAAGTTGGAAACCCAATCGCCTCAATCTTTAAGAGTACTGTAGAGGGAATCCCAGCACTATGTGGCCTGAATCCAGTGTCCAACTTTATGGGGCCCACTGTAAACCCCTAAAAGCCCTCAAGTCCTCCAACGTTTTTTCGGGACGTCGGCGGCTGGGGGCCTTTCCGCCCACAGGCGTAGATGAGCGAGTTGTAGCTAACCTGTGAGGCTGGACGGGCTTTAAAAGCTAGGAGGTGCTTTTCAAGCCCCTGAAAAATACTAGTAGGTAAGATCCTCATAAGAGCAAATATAAAATGTCCCAAAGCCCAACATAGTAAGGGTTCCGTAGGGTTTGGTTTAGGGTTTAGGGTTTGGGGTGTGGTGTTTGGGTTCGTGGCTTGGGATTGCGTGGTTTAGCATTCGGGCTTGGGGGTTTAAGTGACCTGAGTACGGACTAATCAGCAGAACTTCCAAAAAGGCATCCTAGCAAATTCATCGAGGGCTTCTTCTCGTGTATCTTTTAAACTACATGCCGATGAGACCCAGACTTAACATGAACCCGTTTTGTTGCTATTGCTATGGGAGCACCCCCGAGGAATGCTGCTTCTGCAGCCCTTTAAAGGAACCCGTAGACATGAAGGTGTAGAAAGTCTGAAAGACTCCAATGGCTCGAAACCCGCAAAAGATGGGCCGAGGCGCGATGTTGGGCTCTACACCGGCAGCCAGCATCCTCGGTCACCCAATGGTTCCTTTATTAAGGGTCCTGATTCTTCGGCTTCCTTTAATTCGAAGGATCAGTAAAACAGGATTCCTTTAAGGGATCCGATTAAGTGCCTGATAGACTTTAGGAGCTGTAGGGGTATTGGGTGGAAAGGCTCAGGCTGTAGCACTTGTTGGCAGCCTCCGTTTACCTGTGCTGGGTTTCTGAGATAGAATTTAAGGTTTCGGGTTTCAGAGTCCATGGAAAACTGCATTGACAGGAATTGCAAATCACCAGAGGTCGACTGCAATCTGAGAACCCCAAACCTGTACCGTCCTCCGGCATGTGCTCTCCACACACGCACCCTAACCTACAACAAAAATCCCAAACACCCCGACTGCCAAATATCCAAACCCTCCCAAACCCACAACTAAGACCCACCGCCAAAGGTCAGAGGAATCCTGCAACTGTTTAAGTTTCGGAGCCTTGGGGGCGAGACACTTTTGGATATTAAGGTACAAGCACGAGAGCAATCAAGATCTTCTCAATGCCACGAAGAAGTTGTCCAGCAGCCCAAATAACACATGTGTTTTCCATTTAACATTATAATTACAAATACGGACCCCGTGGTAATAATTTTTCAACAAAGGAACCCCAATATGCAAGTGCTCACGGGGTACTGCTGCATTCGGGGACCTGGGAAGCCCCATAAAACATCCACGAAACCCGACAAAACCCTCGAAGCTCCTTGAAAACAAACCGTACGGTTGATGATATAAATCCTGCATTACCTTAAGGACCCTAGACTATGGGAATAATAGTATATTCCTTCTATGATCGGTAATGCAGGATTTATATCATCAACCGTAGTAAATCCTGCAACCGAAACTTACATCCTGATCACGCCTTCGCCGGGGATTCCCAGGCCGTACACTCTAAAGACCAAGAAGCCGAAAAGCGTAAAGCTTTATAGAAAAAATCACATCGAAGCCGTATATACAACACCCTCTCTGGAACCCATATAGAACTCTCACAGTCTTAACGAACCTACATAACCCTTCCATCTTACGCCCCAAAGCCTGCAGCCTAGAGTTGATCTCCGCCGGGTGGCTTCGAAAGCCAATGCTCTGCCAGCTCTGTCTCCTTATGGGAAGGCGCTGGATGTTCTGGAGCTTTTTATAGGTTCCGTAATACTTTCATGACACAGGACGGATTTAAGATTTGGAGTTCTGGTTTGGAGGCCTAAGTTTACATTAAACATGAGAACAAAGTAAAGTATTTTTGAGGGTGGGAAACTATAGTAAAACTACATGCGAACTGCAGGAATGTAGGGGCTACTGAAGCCAAATTAAATATGCCGGGCATGAGGCTAAGAAGGGTTCTCCTACGTGGAAGCATAGAATACTTAGCTAGTAAGTAAGCTGCAAATATAATGTTAACTGCCCAGCCTAAACCTACCTTGCTTCCCGGATCCTTTCTGAAGCTTTCTTACCGTTTTGCTTTAGCGGGGGCTGCTTTGAAGACCTACTAGGGGTACTTTGCATACAACATAGGCTTTCCTTCACTATGGCAAATGCAAGAAGCGGATCCCTGAGCAAGAACCTACGTACTACACTGTAGGCTTGCTCATGTCCACGACCAAACTTTTACAATGTGCTGGAAGGCTGTAAAATCAACGTACCCCCATTTTCTGAGGCTGCCGGTTTATGCTGATCCTTATCTTTCTGTTTAAGGTTTTTTCTCTCTCTCTCTCTCTCTCTCTCTCTCTCTCTCTCTCTGATTGAACAATTGTGTGTCTGAACACATCTGCCCCATGTCTATGCAAAAGGGTGTGTATTATATATATATATATGTATACACAGAAAGATGTACCATAAAACCTAGACCCCAAACTGAGTGTATGTATGCATATACCAGCGACACAGAGAGAGAGAGACAGACAGAGAGCCGAAGAAAGTCGCTCCGCTAAAGTATGTTACACAAAGAGATTCAGCACCTAGGCCTTGAGGCTTAGGGTTTCAGGGTTCCGGGTTTAGGGTTTAGGGTTTAGGGTTTAGGGTTTAGGGTTTAGGGGTTTAGGGTTTAGGGTTTAGGGTTTAGGGTTTCAGGGTTTAGGGTGTAGGGTTTAGATTCTAGGCCTTGAGGTTTCGGGCTTAGGGTGTAGAGTCGCCTTGAGGCTTCAGGTTCTTTGTCCTGTTCTCTACTTCCTAAGCCCGCCCAGCCACTCCGCGCTTGGCGCGTGCGTGGATGACGGTGGCATAGCTGACCTTGGGCTCCGGAGCCAGAAAGCCCGAAACTACTGGGGCCTTAATAAATTAGAATACTATTTTTTGGAGCTCATTATACTACAATTACAGCCAGCAACCCCCAAAATAGTATAGGTAACTATTAAGGCCTTTATAGTACTTAACTTAGGAATACACCTCATCTCATGTTGAGACCTCCTTGCACACCTGAAGGTAGGATCTCTGGCTGAAGGAAGGGCACCCTGAAACGATGTCGAGAGACCTGCAAGGGCTCGCAGCACAAGCTGCTGCAAGCAGCAGCAGAAAATCATCAAAAGAAGTGGGTGGTTGTCAAAATGATGGTCCCCTTCTTGGGTCCCTGATATAGTACGGCACGAATTATTTAGGGTTCCCGAAAAGGGACCCTAATTGTGACAACTGCCCAAGTAGCAGTAGGCGATAGTAGGAGTGGTAGCAGCAGCAGCAGAAGAAGGAGGCAGCAGAATCCAGAAGTAGAAACACTTTCGCAGGCAGTAGCAGGAGCGCTACTGTATCATCAGCAGCAGCTCCTACTAGAGAAACATCATCATATACTATAATACACTATAATACACTTTAGTATACTATAATATACTATGACATACTAGAAGATACTATATTATACTATAACTAACTGCAATATGCTATCACCACCACAACCATCACCCTAAACCCTGAGCCCTAAACCCTAAGCCCTAAAATCAACCATCAACATGAGCATCAACAACAGGAACCACAACAACCACCACGACCGCAACAGAAACAGTAGTAAGCACACTCAAAGGTTCAGAAGAAGTAGAGGGTTTAGGGTTTAGGGTACCCGACTCAAAGGTTCCGAAGAAGTAACACACCACATACAACTAGTCGCACCGAAGTACAGCACCATGAGTCCATGAGGAGCAGGATGTACTCTTACCTTAAATGGGGGTTTCCGAAAATAGGGGACCCTAATAAAGTACTCTAATAGTAGGATCCTTATTAACTTATTATAAGGACCCCATAAGATGGTACCCCTAATTTTCGGAAACTCCCAAAGTTCACCCGCAAAAGTCCTCAAACCTCAACCGCAGACTCCAATTCACCCGAAAATCTCCAAATACACCCACCTCCAAGACCTCAAAATGCCCCCCAAAGCCTTAGGCCCAAACTACCCCAAACCCTCAACTCCGAACCCAAAGCCCTGAGCCCCAAAAAAGAAGGCAAACCCTTACAAACTCTCCCTCTGCAACCCACAAGGCCTTAGTCTCAGGGCTCCTCCTTCTCATGGAAATCCGACATGGGAGTTTCCGAAATGGGGGTACCTTACTTTGGGGTCCTTATATTAAGGATCCTACTATTTAGGGTAGTACTGTATTGGGGTCCCCCATTTTCGGAAACCCCCGAATAACTTTCCTCTTAAAGGAACCCTCATTTGGTGTTCAGGGCAGCCTCATTGGCCGGAACTCCATCTTTCAGCATCTCAGACAGCCAATGCTCGGCGTCCTCGCATCGTCTCGTGGGGAAACTAAATTTCGGTTCTGGATTTCGGATTTCGGGGTGGGAACAGAACCCCAAAGCCACAACACCGAAGCAAAGCCCACGAACCTACGATGATTCAAACACGCCAGGCTACTAAAAACCCTGAACGTCACACAACGTGAACCCCTCAAGCTGTAAAACCTGCAACATCCCATCCGACCCCCCCCCGGTTGTGACGACCAGCAATCCTCGGCATCATCCGCTTTGGCGGAGGCCTGGCGTTCAGCATGGGGCTTTCTTAGCATACGCAGACAGTAGAGATCAGGGCTTTGGGTGGAGGGCTTACGGATTGAAGCTTCCGGTGGTTGATTTGAACGGGATTGCAACTTTCAATGCTGCTTGAGACTGGTTTTGCTCTGGTGCTTGGCACAGGGGCTTCGATTCAAGAACTAAGTTCTGCAACAGCTGAATTTTGTGAATTCATGCATAGAGTGCTTGTGCGTTGCCCAACCGGTTCGGGGTGGTTCGTGCCAGCCGAAGAATCTGAACTCGAAAACCGTGCCCGGAACGGTATTTACGGCCTGCGTCCTGCTGCGGTCTTTGGAAGGCACTCCTGTCGGTTCTTGCGAAATCTCAAGTCATCCTTGAAACGTAATAAACTACTCATAGCCCGACTGCTCTTCTAACCACCAATGAACCCGAAGCCCTAGAAACCACCTTCAGCCACCAAATTCCCATCTTTACAACGGGTGCACATAAACCATAACAATGAAGAAGCTGAAACATTAGGCCGTTTCGGCGACCCACCCTAACCTTACACCTAAACCCTAAACCCTAAACCCTAAACACTAAAACCCTATACCCTCTACCCTGAGCCCTAGCCCCATACCCTATACCCTATACCCTGTACCATATATCCTACCCCCTATATTCTATACCCTCCACCCCTAAGCACCCCATGAACCGCAAGCACGAGTCCCTCAACCCCTACCCTTCTTGGCTGCCGAGTTGCATCCATGAGGATGTTGTAACCTTTCCGCAGAACACAAGCAAAAAGGATCATGCTATTAGGCGTTAAGGCTGTGGGGAACCCTTCAAGGCAGGGGTATTGCTAATCAGGGTCCTCATCTAGGATCCGTAAGAATTAGAATAGGGTTTCGAGGCGTCTTATACACTAGACTTACGATAGGCGTTGTACAGGAATACTAGTTTCTCTACACTATGATAGGCTTCATATGGGAATACCATAGGTGCTGACTGATCTCTATCACCCTAAACCCCAAACCCTAAACCGCTAAACCCTAGACAAGCCAATGATCAACTTTAACTACACACCCTGCAAAACAAGCACAACCTAAACCCTAAACCCTAAACCCTCTCCCCGATGAATCAAAGAGAGGACCCCCGGAGTTACCTGGGTTTATTCAACAATCTGGTACCGGATCGTTGCAAGGGCACTCCATCGACCCTAAACTCTGGATCCTGTGCCCTCAGCGGTTTAGGGTTCGAAGTAGATGGCAAGAACATGACACTTAAGAGGCAGGATGGTTGAATGATAGCATGAGACCATTAACATCAAAAGCCATCATACGGCTCAGAATGATACAAAGCAGAAGGAGCAAGCTAAGAAAACTAAAGACTACCCTGGACCCTAAAAACTAAACTCTAAACCCTAAAACCCTAAACTTTCCTAAAAAAACCCTAAGCCCAAACCCCTAAACCCATAAAACCCTAAACCTAAACCCGAAAATCAGCACAGCTGCTGATGGTGTTCGGCTCCACTCCGGCCGCCCCTTGGACGACGGAGGGCTTTGGCGCGAAAGGTGAGTTGAAGCCACCGACCCAGACCCCTGGGAGGATCCAAAAAGTAGATCCCTTAATGGGTGAAGCTTCGACAATATGGGTGCCTCAAACATTGGAATAGGGTTTCGGGGTATCTTATGGTATATTTAGAATAAAGAGCTTCAAGGAATAATGCTGGTAATTACCTAGGCCTTTACAGAGGTTCTACAAGGGATCAAAAGTGGACTTAAGGTTGATTCGTGTTATGGTTTCCGCCTTTTTTGGGATTAAGGTTGAGGGGTGTGTACAGTTTACTGTAGGGGTTTGGGGTTTGGGGTTTAGGGTTTAGGGTTTGGGGCTTTCCGTGTGCCACATGCTCACCGGCTCCACAGTATATACACTCACTCAGCGCAATCCTTCCCTGATTCACCCTGGGACACCTAAGGCCACAACGCTTGAGTCTTCAACCCTACGCCCCCCTAAACCCTATACTTGCCCTAAACCCTAAACGCCTTGACCCTCAAACCCTAAACCCCTAAACCCTAAACCCTGAAACCCCCTAAGCCCTAAAACCCTAAACTTTAAGCCCTAAATCCTAACCCGCAAACCCCCAAACCTCTGCGAAGCTCCCGAGCCTGAAAAATCTGAATGCAGAAACCGCGAATGCAACATCTGACACCGCGCGAATCTTCATCAGAGGGCTCCAAAGGTGGGGTGGTGTTCGGATTTAGGATTCAGGACTTAGGGTTCATGGTCCGGGGTGTGTACACGAAATGGGGTCTTCCCTGAGAGCTTCCAAAATCAGGCGGACCGGACCCAGTTTTGGGACCCAGCTGTGATCCGAAAGTGGGATGAAAATACTTAGAGGTTCATGGGGAGTTATAAGGGTTCCTTCAAGGGTCCCTTTAAAGGGATCTATGGGGATTCTAGTACCGGGTTTAGGGCCTACTTGGAGGTTCATGGGGAGTTTTAAGTGCGGTGAAAAATAACATAACTATAACTATAACCCATATTAAGGGACTTAGAACCCCACTCATAACTATCCATGAACCTCCAAGTAGGTGAGGTAATCCCAAATAAGTCCTCATAGAAGGGATCCTGGGGCGCACCTAATCTCACCTATTGAGGCCTCCGACTTCAGGAAGGCTCTGAACCAGTGAATTCCCAGGGTTCAGGATTCAGGCTTGAAGGGTTTGGGGTTTGGGGATTTGGGGTGGTTTCAGGATTTGGGGGTTCAGGGTTCAACTCAAATGCTAGAGCACTGCATAAAAGGAATACCGACCCATCAAATGCCTGTATGGGTTAAGGCAGTATAGGCCCGACATGTTCTAGCCGGCCAGACCTTTAATCAATTTAAGTTTCCGAAAATATTCCGAAAATAGGGGACCTTGATATAGTACCCTGAATAGTAGGATCCTTAGTACAAGGACCCCAGAAAAAGGCATCCCTAATTTTTTGAAATTCTCGACCCAAAGGCCTGCACGATTGAGAGTCCTTGACTTCTGAGCCACACCCTAAACTCATAGGGGCCCTTCAAGAGGTAGCGGGGACGGGGGTAGGGGACTATACTTCCTTCACTAGGCCTTATTAGGTCTTTGTTATGGGCATTAAGGCCCCTATGATAAACCCTAAGTGCCAAACACAAAAACGCTACAAACAATCCTGGGTTTAGTTCACTGGCGCCGAGGGGCGCATCTCATGCAGCCAGCGGCGGGCACCTTTCATGTCGCCGGTTTTTGCGCAAGCGTGGATGACCTGAACTCTGAGGGTTTTTGGGACTTAAGGCTGACGGTTACTCGGTTTAGGGTTTAGGGTTTACGGGGGGGGTTATTTTTTGAGGGCCCTTTTCCTCCCTGCTACAGTCGGAATACCTAGTAAGTAGAGCCAGGTTGAGGACAGATTGGAGGGTTTAGGGTTTAGAGTTTAAAGCAATTCTGGAAGGTCGTGTAGCCTCTAGAGGTTGAGGGTTTAGGAGTTTAAGAGTTTAAGCTTAAGCAGGGTTACTTGGAGGAGTTATAAGTGGGGTTAAAAGTAAGGTAACTATAGTTACAACCCATATTAGGGGACTTCTAACCCCACTTATGACTACCCATGAACCTCAAAGTAGGGATAAAGGGTTTTTGTGTTTCAGGAATGCTGGTTTGGTGCAGGGGCTCTTTCAGTGGTTCTTCGGTTGATGATATAAACCCTGCATTACCCATAATCAGGAATATACCATAATTCCCATACCTAAGGGTCCTTAAGGTAATGCAGGATTTACATCATCAACCGTTGCTTCAGATGCAAGGAGATGCGGGTCGGATAAGCACTGTGAGAGGGTCAGGCTTGGAAAGTATACTGCGCGGGGCTGAGGATCCACTGTCTCGAAACATGTCTTTGTCTTGTCTTTCTGACCCTAAACCCTAAACTATACTGAACCCGGAACTCATGAGTAGTACCTACTGAGCAGCGCAGGTCTTCCACTGCCTAGTCGTGAGGGACTCGAGGTTCCTCGTGACTGCGTAGCACCGTGCACACAAGGGTTTAGGGTTTAGGATTTAGGGTTTAGGGTTTAGGGTTTAGGATTTAGGGTTTAGGGTTTAGGGTTGTATGGTGGATGGTATAAATCCTGCATGACCCTAAGGACCCTAAACTGTGGGAATTATGGTCTATTCCTTCTTATGGGTAATGCAGGATTTATACCATCAGCAGGTTGATGATATGAATCCTGCATTACCCATAAGAAGGAATATACCATAATTCCCATCCTTAGGGCAGTGCAGGATTTTGTCCATCAGCAGTATCACCGTGCACGCGAGACGTAGGAGGCCCTAGAAAACTTTTCTGAATTGCCCTTCAAGGCCTTTGCCAATTATTTGCTGTTGTGGTTCTCTACAAAATAGTAGGGGAAATTAAAAATTCATCCCAAAGGACAACCCAGTTTTAAACTGGCCCTAAACCCCTACTTGTCGGGTATCATGGGGAACTAAAGGTTAACCTTTTTGGTTATATAGGGGTTCTATAGGGACTATACTACCCAAAAAAAAAGTTAAAGGTTACCTACTCTACTACTAGGAACCCCAGCCCTTAAACTCTGACCCTCCAAACCTTTCAAAAGCCGCTGACACCGCGACCTTACGACACGATTTCAAGCCCCTGAGAACCCCAAAAAACAATGACCAAACAAAATTCTGCCGAGACCCCAAATCCTAAAAGCCTGCATACCCTAACCCTTATACCGTATCCTTATAGAATACCTATAGATCCCTTTAAAGAGACCCTTAAAGGAAGCCTTACAACTACCCATGAAGCTCCAAGTAGAGCCCGGAAGCTGAATTGAAAGGCATCGTGTCGACGGGAGTTTTCGTCCTGGCGACGGTGGGGTTAAAATAGACCTGGAGGTTTAGGGTTTAGGGTTTAGGGTTTAGGGTTTAAGGTTTAGGGTTTAGGGTTTAGGGTTTAGGGTTTAAGGTTTAGGGTTTAGGGTTTAGGGTTTAGGTGGACCCCAAGGAACCTGCCTTTTTAGGGTTCCCCAATATGATTTCTTTGCGTATATAAGTGCCTAAAAAAGGTAGGTTACTTGGGGTTATGGGAGGCCTTAACAATTTCAATAGGGCTTTGGGGCAGTATACTACATTTTCTGAGTTGGCCTTTAAACACCCTGAACAAATTATATATAGGGTCCCTTATAAACCCAAATAAGGAAAATAAAACATGTCTCAAAATCCAACCTAGTCTTAACAACTTCAGCAGGGCTTTGGGACATCTTTTGAATCTAGGGGTCTGAGCAATTAAAACTACACAGGGTTTTGGGGTATATTCTACGATGCGTATGAGGACCCCTGCTGAGCAATCTTTCCAGGTGCAGGCTTCCATGCTAAGGAGACTGGGTTTCACATTTTCAAGTTCAGGGTTTAAGGGCTCAGGGTTTACGATTCCACGATGTGGAGTTTTGGGCGTCAGGCTTTGGAAATTCTGGGTTTACAGCTTGATGCTTCTGGGTTTGAGGGCAACTTCCAGGAGAAGAACCGCCAGTAAAAGGGGAATGAAGGTACTGGGCGGCTAAGTCAACCAACGTCATTCCCTAAACCCCGAATCTTAAAGCTCTCAACCCCTGTATTCCTATATACGGCGTTGAAACCCGTTTACGTTCGAACATCTCGAGGTCAGGATTGTAACAATGGCACTCAGGGTTTAGGGTTTGCTGTTCCGGGTTCAGGTTTAGCGTCCGGAGTGTTCCCCTTCAGGGCTTCTGGATTTGCTGTTTTGAGTTTCGACATGGCGCCCCCATGACTATATAATATGGAACTTAGACCCCTAGCAAAAATGATGAGTTTAGCTGTTTCTTAAAGATTTTCTAAGTACCTCTATGATGAATTCAACCACGAGGTCCGGATGATGTCGCCAAGAAGGCGCTCCGCGCGGCTGCGATCACCACTGCGCACGGCCGCAGCCACAGCTTGTGACAAGCCTTTGACCTGACGGTTGGGGAGAGAGAGAGAAAGAGAGAGAGAGAGAGAAGGCAAAATACAACCCTAGTAGATTAACGAAGGAGGTTAATACATCGACAACGAGAGGGAGAACGCCGACGAGGAGAAACCCTAAACCCAAGTTAACAAATCCAGCTCATGACTGCCTTCTGGGAGTTTCCGAAAATAGGGGACCCTATCTACTACCCTAAATAGTAGGATCCTTATTATAGGGACCCCAAATAAGGTACCCCCGATTTTCGGAAACTCCCTTCTGGTAGCGACGACACTACTTGTCCGAAGCTCCGTTACCTAGAAACTCCACAACCCCGCAGGCTTTAGGTTTTTGGGAGTTACGGTTTAGGGTTTAGTTTAGGGTTTAGGGCGCTTTCTTAAATTTATGGGGCGAGCCTCAATATCCATGTAGGGTATAGTCGGCAGAAACGACTTCAGGCGATTGAGCACATGCAGCACCAGCTGCCGTGCGACACTAAACCCTAAACCCTAAACCCTAAAACCCTAAACCCCTAAACCCTAAACCCTAAAACCCTAAACCCCTAAACCCCTAAACCCTAAACCCTAAAACCTAAAACCCTAAACCCTAAACCCCTAAACCCCTAAACCCCTAACCCCTAACCCTGACCCCCTAAACCCCTAAACCCCTAAACCCTAAACCCCTAAACCCCTAAAACCCTAAAAGCAGCGGTGTTCTGGGTCCTGGAAGGCATGGAACGACGGAGGTGCTGATGGGAGGCCACAAGGGGGGTCTAAGATTCTTGGGGTAGGGACTCCTTAATATGAACCCTATTATGGGAACCCAAATCCCCACAAAACCCCCCATACGCTAAAACCCCTTTTGGCCTCCTATGATACCCTTGTAGATCCCTTTAAAGGAACCCCTTCTCGATCCCTTTAACGGAACCCTAGGGATCCCTAGCCCCCCTGGGCTAAAACCCCTTTTAGCCTCCTGTGAGGTGCCGCCAGCGGCAGACTCATCCTCGGGCGCTTCAAAGCGGGGAGCAGATCCTCGTCGTCATGCTCCGATGGATGATATAAATCCTAGGGTTCCTTTAAAGGGATCTATAGGTGTACCTTTAAGGGCTGCCTTTAAGGGATCCCTGAGGGTTTAGGGTTTAGGGCTTATGATATCATTAGCCCTAAACCCTCAGGGATCCCTTAAAGGAAGCCCCTTAAAGGTACACCTATAGATCCCTTGAAAGGAACCCTAGGATTTCTATCATCAATTGTCCGGCTTCTCCTTCTCTTTCGTGATCTTAGGAGTGGGGCTCACGGCTCACGGCTGTTGTGCCGGCCTTCGGAGGAGGAGAAGACTTTGGGGGAACCACCCCCGCCTTGGCACCGGAAATCGCCATGATTCGGGAGGCGATGTCAATGATAATTCATCACGCAAGATGCGACAGCAATCTTCATTGCACTGCTTCGGAGTCTCTGGGTCCACTCATGACTGCCATCTGCTATCTCATGCTTTGATATCTTGGCTTTGGATGATCTATAGAAGCCCAAGAATTAGACTACTCTAAGCTGTTCTGTGTTGGGTGGCTCACACTGTCTCTCGCGCTCTCTCTCTTTCTCTCTCTCTCTCTCTCTCTCTCTCTCTCTCTCTCTCTCTCTCTCTCTCTCTCTCTCTCTCTCTCTCTCTCTCTCTCTCTCTCTCTGTATATGTATGAGTATGTAGGTAGATATATAAACACATACACATACAAATACATGTTCTATAATACAACAACATGACAACCCTGAGGAATAGCATATCTGACTGTTTGTTCTGGCCAGGAAATTTCTGAACTTTAAAACCTTATATGGCCCATTCACCCTACCTTGAACCCCAAACCCGTATGCAGCCCTTACACCCTTTAATTTCCCTGAACCTGAACCCTTAAACCCTGAACTTACTAAACCCTTAAACCCTGAACTCGAAACCCTTAACCCTGAACCCTAAATCATAGGCTAATCAGCCAATGCCCCGCAGCAGGCTGACATGAGGTGGAGCTCGGCGAAAGGACATGAAATCCATAAGGGCTCTCGGAATTATTTTATGGGTTTAGAAGGAAACCCTAAACCCTAAACCCTAAACCCCTAAACCCCTAAACCCTAAACCCTAAACCCTAAACGCTCCCATCATGGGGTTTTTAAATGTCCTATTGGGTGGACGGTTTAGCAAGTAAATGGGTGGTTGTCAAAATTAAGGTCCCTTTTGGGGTATCCTAAATAATAGGTATAATAGGGACCCCAAAAGTGACCCTAATTTTGACAACCACCCAAATCTCAAAAGACCTAAACCATGAACCTTAAACCCTAAACCCTAAACCCTGAACTCTAAACTCTAAAACCTAAAACCTAAACCATGAACCTTAAACCCTAAACCCTAAACCCTGAACTCTAAACTCTAAAACCTAAAACCTAAACCATGAACCTTAAACTCTAAATCCTCAGCTCGGAACCCGATCTCTGCACCAGACCCTAAACTTGGGTACAGCCCCCGTACAGTATGCAGTAAGAGTCTATAATAGGGCTACTAAAGGGTTTAGGGTTTAGGGTTTAGAGACTATTAGGGCCCTAGTATATCTATACTATGGATATTACTCAACTGTTACTGAGTGGGGGCCGTACCCAACCTAAGCCCTAAACCCGAAAAAGCTTCAATAACTAGGCCCCTAGGCGAGTAAGACCGTGGGGGTCTCATTTAAGGACTAGAAGTGACTTGTATTGCCAAAGAGTTGAGGGGACATAGAAATTAGACTTCCGAGAATAAGGGTTCAGGATAAAAACTTTTCAGCTTTTATAGGGAGTAAAAGAGACTTGTTCAGCGAATCAAAACTTGTATTTCATAATGGCTCCTTCTCAGGTTCAGGTCCAAAAAAAGCATTCATGTAGGGCACGTACTCGACAACCCAATAAGTATCTAGAATTATCTAGGTACATGAGAGGCCCCCTGTATGACAAGGACGCCTTTTTTCCTACGATTCGGTTTTCATAAGGGGACCCTGCAATATGAATCGGAAAAGGGCACTACTCTAGAACCCAACCAGTAGAGTTAAACACCAAACAGATGGAAACCGGATTAAGGACGGGATTACCTATACAGGATTCTTAAAGGTGGAGGCTAGGGCTTCTACTGTAAGTATACCCTTATATAACCTCTCTCGATCTCTCCTAGAAAACTTATACATAAGGTTTTCTTATGGAACTTTCTAGGGACCCTAAACCCTAAACCCTGTAAGGAACCCTGCCTAAACCCTTTAAAGAACCCTAAAACCCTACGGAACCCTTTTAGCAGCCCTGTGTAGGAGGAGCTCTTTACGGAGGCCTTTCTAGTAGACCCTAAACCCTCACAGATCCCTTGTAGAACCCTTTAAGGAGCCCTTAAAGGAACCCTTTAAACCCTAATCCCTAAATCCTAAACCCAAATCCCCCTAAGCCCTAAACCCTAAACCCTAAGCCCTAAACCCCAAACCCTAAGCCCTTAAAGGGTAAGTACCTAGAGAGCCCAATACCCCTTAATTAAGGAATATGGCTTAAATCATATAGGGCTTCATATTAAGATTTAAGCTATATTCCTTAATTAAGGGGTATTGGGCTTTCTGGGTATTACATAAAAACACCCACCTGGGGACCGAGGCCCGGGCTCCTCCGTTGGTCGTCACGTCTTTGGCTTTCTCGGGGGAGAGCTGCTCCTGAGGGTACCATAGGGTTCTATAATGGGTTCCTTAAGGGCCCCTTTAAAGGGATCTATAGGGATTCTATGAGGGTATAGGGTTTAGGGTTTAGGGTATACTTGAAGGGTCGGGGGACTTAGTAACTGGGCTATTTTAGGGACATATAAGAACCATAACCCCAATTAGACTCCCTTTTGAGCCCTAAACCCTCAGACTTCCAGTTTATACCCTATATACCTTATACCCTTATCGAATCCAGGTCGTGTACGTGCTGAGAGTATCCCTTGTAATACGATCCACTGAGGAAGGCTTTAAGGGGTTCAGGGGTTAGGGGTTTTAGGGGCTTAGGGTTGGGGTTTAGGGTTTAGGGGTTTAGGGCTTAGAGTTGGGGTTTTGGGTTTAGGGGTTTAGGGTTTAGGGGTTTAGGGTTTAGGGGTTTAGGGGTTTAGGGGTTTAGGGTTTTAAGGTTTAGGGTTGGGGTTTGGGGTTTAGGGGTTTAGGGTTTAGGAACGAGGAAGGACAGTAGGTTTCGAAGGGTTTAGGTTGTAGGGTTTAGGGTGTAGGGCTTATTGGATGCAACTTGAGGCATGGTTTATTTGGGGTTAGGTTGTAGAGTTTGCGGTTAATTGTGTGTAGGGTTTAGGGAGTAGCTTATGTGTAGCTCAGCGTTTCGGGGTGGAAAAGGTTGTTTCGGGCCTTACTGGTCGCACTACTACCACGGTGACATACCCTAAGCCCTAAACCGTATTCTGTCAGGTTGAGGATTCGCAAGCAGTGTAAGCCGCCTGTTGGACTTCAACGGGTTTAGGGTTTACACCGTTTACACCTAAGGTTCCGGGGTTCAGGGGTTTAGGATGTAAAGTTTAGAGTCAACTAACACAGTCAACTGCCAACATCTGCAGAACCTTCTGGTCCTGCTAGGACTCTGCGCGCACACAGAGCGCACTCGGAGCTTACTTGGAGGATCATGTCACTTAGTAACCAGGATTATAAGCAAGATAACGGTAGATATAGCTACTTATAACTCCAATTAAGGTACTTATAACCCTAGTCTAAGTCCCATGATCCTCCAAGTACTTACGACTGCGCACCTAGATCACGCGCTCGTTTCACCCCGACAACCTGGCCTTGCATCTTCGCGAGCAACAGCTGCCCGTGAAAGTAGTTTAGGGTTTAGAGTTCAGAGTTTAGGGTTTAGGGGTTAGGGTTTAGGGTTTACGGTTTACGGCTGATGCTGGCAGAACATGCTGAGGCCTTTCCACGTGTGGTGGGTCTTCGTCCTCGACCTACTGATCGAAGTCACCAGCTCAAGCTCAAACTCCTCCAAGGTATTGACGGATAGCTATGGATGTGCAGGCCTTTAAGAAGCCTTTTCAACTGCCGTTCGCTTGCGCAACAGTTTGCTCCCACCGGAGCTAGGAAGCCACGGGCAGAGGCTCCTAAGAGAGTCTTCACATCTTCTGGGGCGTAGGAGTGCAAGCTGGCTTGGGCTGCAGTCTGTGGGTTCGCCGTCTTCGGCAAGAGTAACACACCGACCCTGCTGTCCGACGAGGCTATGCTGCTGGTTGTTTGCAATGCTCAGCTCCGTTCCGGTCCGCCCCGAGACAGGTCTGCAACGCAGCTTCCAAGTCGTGGGACGCTGCAAAGACCGTCTGAAACACTCAAGCCTGCGCCGATGCAGCTTACAAATTACAAGAGGGAGGTCAAACTCCTCAATAGCTGTAGTTTCGACCAGGACCCTACTCCCATTGAGGCCCCCTTCAACAAAAACCTACAAAAACCTAAAACAACCTTATACAAACCCTGCATTTCCGAGGCTCCAAGAGAACGAGTGTGGCAAACAACCCCCCGACTAGAGGCCCTCTAACTCATGTCGCCAGACATGCAACGGCCATGCGACGACTATTCTTTTGAATCATGCTACCATATTGTATAAAGGTTGATGGTATCATGTATGTAAAGTACGACTTGCTCTATCACATTTCCTAGGGAATTCTAGCAGAAGAATGCAATCAAGCATCCTCAGACGTTTAAACCTAAACCCACAAAAATGAACTTCCGACACTGAAGTCTAGCAACCTCTTGATATATACATATATATATATACATATATCTAATATTGCTCTTATACTTTATGAGATTATATGTAATGTATCCAGCATGGGCTGCTTCACGTTTAGGGTCTCGAAACGTCGGAAACCATAGACGAGAACACTTTCAACGCTAAACACAAAGCCCTCCAGTCTAACGCGGGAAAAAGGTTGTCAAAGAAGGCCATTTGCTGTATTGGAGTATTCAGTTTCTTATCTACAGACTACAATGGGGCACTAGTACTAACTATTCTGACAGCTACGTTATCCAAACACCCCTGCACGGCTTTGAGACCGGAACTTTGAAGCTTTGGGTTTAGGATTTGCATATTGGGGTGTTCGAGGTGCAGGGTCTAGGGCTTGTGGGTTCCATGGTCGACGGATGTCGAGGGCTTAGGCTTGCTCTATGAAAACCTACATTGCACGCCCAGAACCCGGAAGACCCTAGACAAGTTCCGCACAGCCTGAACCCAACCTTCCCGTAAAACACACGTCTCTAACGCTTGCCTCGGAATCCACGGGGCCGTTAACGGCCTCGACGACAGGTTTTCTGCAGCTTTGGAGGGGCCTCTTTTGCGTTGTGTTTTGTCATGGGTGTATAAAAGGATTTATGACAATGAGGCTTGACAAGATACCTGGAAGCCCCTAAACTCGAAACTTAAACCTTAGTTACACGGCTAAACCCTTGACTCGACTTTTAACCCTAAATCCTGAACACATAAACCCTCAAAGCCTAAATCCTAAAGCCAAGAACCCGAAAGTGCTCAATCCTGAGTAAGCCTTAGAAAACCCAAGGGTCGTCACGAAGCTGTTCTGTCAAAGCTCATAAGAACTCAATGAAGCTTCTACAGAAACCAACTAAACACTATTTTAACAAAACAAGGCCTTGGAAACGCCCTTATTGAATAATAACAGATCTATGGCCACTTCAAGTTTTTCGTGTGTGCACTCGCGCAGAGTAAACACCTGCAATACAAACCCTCGCAAGCATGCGACCTCGCTGAATAACAACATATCCAATCTAAGCTTCATAATTGGGTGGTTGTCAATATCAGGGTCCCTTTTTGGGGCCTTATTATAATACGGCACCTAATATTTAGGGTACCCCAAAAAAGAATCCTAATTTTGACAGCCGCCCAATTAAAGGGTCTATAGGGTGGAAGGGCTTGGGGCCTGAAAGCCTTAAACCTCTCTGCCAAGACCATATATTAGTAGAAGCCAGAAAGTTGGAACATCAGACTCCTCATGCCCTTAAGGTAAAGTATAAGGGATCCTAGCATTAATCCTCCTAAAGCCATGTTCCAACTTTCTGGCTTCTACTGTAAACCTGAGGCCCTCAAGTCTCAGAGCTTTGCCCGCAGCCCCCAAGCCCTGCAAAATCAGAGGTTATGACCCCTTGACTACATACGGTTGATGATATAAATCCTGCATCACCCATAATAAGGAGTATACAATAAATCCCATAGTTTAGGGTCATGAAGGTAATGCAGGATTTGCATCATCAAGCGTAGGGTTTGAGGCTTGTGGTCTAATCAGGGGTTCGGCCTTTAGGGGTTTATGGTTCAGGGTTTAGGGTTACAGGCTTATGGTTCAGGGTTTCGGGTTTTACCCGGTCCAGGTCAACCCCAAACCCTAAATCCTAAAACCAGAGAGCCCAAGTCCCCCTGAGTAAGAACTAAAGCATATACATGCTTAAATCATACTATGAAGACCCTTGTGATTTAAGGTATGTTCCTTAGTCAAGGGGTATTGGGCTCTGTGCTTGCAGGTTCATGGGTAGTTATAAGTGGGGTTATGAAATACGTCTTATGGTTTCTAACTGTAGTTGCCTTTCTTCCAACCCTATTTATAACTCCCCATGAACCTCCCAGTAGGCCCTAAACCCTGCACCAGAATCCCTACAAAACTTAAAGGAATCCTTTTAACCCTAAACCCTAAACCCCTAAACCCCTAAAACCCCTAAACCCTAAACCCCTAAACCCTAAACCGCCCATGAACAAGCAAACGAAGGGTGGGAATCAAAATTATGGCCCCTTTTGGGGTACCCTGAATATTAGGTGCCGTATTATAATAAGGACCCAAAAAGGGACCCTAATTTTGACAACCCCCCCGAAAGCAGAGCATCATTCCTGGCCTGCGTGCGCTCGATCTTCAGCTTCCCCGGCTCCTCGCCTGTATCGCGTCATTAAAGGGCTTAGGGTTCAAGGTTTTAGGTTTTAGGGTTTAGGTTTTAAGGTTTAGGTTTTGGGTTTCGGTTGGATGGGGGTTAGGGTTTAAGGCTTGGGGGCATCTGCGATGTAGGGTCACCCCCTCAAGCTTAAGGCTTCAGGATTTTGGTTTTCAGGAAATTCACGGTGCATGGTTTCAGGGGGCTGCTCGGAAAAACAGGTTTTGGGATTGGGATCGACATCTTCGGGACTTAGCAGGTCATGCTACAGGAACCTTCATTGGGCTTATTTGTAGTTTTGAATACAGGTACCCAAACCATGACCCTAGTTATTCAATCCGATGATCATACAAGTTGGGGTTTGGTGTTCTTGCGTTTCGTGCTGATTTTGGGGTTTACGGGTTTTGGGTACTTTAAATAGTTGAACTCCGCCAATGCAGTAAGGCTGAGCGCAAGGATGTTAGAGTTTCCTGCCTTAAAATTTCGTGAATGACTGATCTTTGATTTGTGCCACACCCTGCCAACCCGAAACCCCAAACCCCGAAACAGCTGGAAACGCTGCAAGATGCCGCAGCTAATGCCAGAAAATCTCCGGCAAGGAAGCCCAAGCATGATCCCGGAGCCCGGTTGGTTCATGGAGGCCCTTGAGGAACTCACGGGTTCAAGGCTTGGGGCTTTCGGTCTTAGTTGGGATCTACCTGCTGCAGACTGGAGACCCCAACCCCTAACCCTGAATTCATGGTTATGTTGGCGATGGCAAGTCTAAACCTAAACCCCAAAGCCGTCCCTAGAGAACAATCGAAACCGCGTGCGTCGCTTTTCAATGTTGCTTTTTGTTGGGTGGCGACGGCAGTAAGTCCTTGCGTTCTGTGCTGTCTATCGTGGGATCCCCTGCTCTTCTGAAACCACCACAATGTAGGTAAGTAGAATTAGATTTGCTGGTATACGTTTTACTGTTATTTGTGAAGCTCTAAGAAGCTGTATGCGTTAAACATTATTCTGCCTCCCATGCTGTTACGTTAATCCAAGCAGCTGGGAAGCAGCTTCCCACGGCGATTCCTGGTGTTCAAGGCTCAGGCACTACCGGGAGGCTTAAATGAAGTGATGCGTCTCTCTGTATGGATTTTTCGCTATAGTTGCCCCACTTGCAACGCCATTTCTATCTACCCATGAACCCTAAACCCTAAACAGCAACACAACAACCGCTCCGAGCTTGCTAATACAAAGTGCCAATAGGGTTCCTTTAAGGGGCTTTCTATAAGGACTACTACAAAAGATACTATGGGGGTTTTACGATGTAAAAACTTTAATGGTTAGAACAACGGCAACTATAAGAGATAATACAAGGGTCATGATTTAGGGGCCATAATAATTAGAACAGGGTCTTAGGGTGTATTAATTATACAATCACTATACTAAGGAACCCCCAAAACAGTACTGGCATTTCTTTGAGCAAGGCCTGGCACAACTGCATACTCACTGCGAAACTCGGCGGCGCTTCTTGGAAGCATCTTCGATGCTTCACTTCGGCTGACCCTTTCCCATGATTTGGGAATAATGGCCACAGGTGCCGATCCAAGGCTCTGGCGGAACAAAATTGTTCCTGCCGCAAAGCTGCGCCACACGAGGAAGTCCCAGAGGCCAGTGGCTATAAAACCCTGTTTGTGCCGAAGCAGAATGCATCTGCTGCAAAGATTCCCGCGTAAACACAATACACTGGGAACCTTGCAGCTGCCATCCGCAGCAGGGGCCATACGTTTTTTGGTAATGCCGGCCACTGGCACCACCCCAACCACCGAACTGGAGACTCCAGACACCTCGGACCGTTGACCAACCTCAAAATTCGTCTATGGTGGCCCCAGTCCGGGCATCTGCATCGAGAAACCAGACGGCGGTGGTCCTCTGGCCCACGCATTGCCGCTTCGCCAACAGCTCCTTGACCTTGGGGAACCAAAGGTGGTGAACCCCGTAATGAAGTATTTCATTGGACTTCAACGGCCTTCCCATGCGGTGGTCTTCATCGAGCTTGTAGCCAATAGACCACGCAAGCAGAGCGCCTTGGCACTTTCAGTTTCTTCAACCAGGTTTTGCAGCCCGTGTGTGCACCATGGCTGCGTCTATGACTCATAATGGCAAAAAGACATGTGCCGCGCGTTGACGGCCCGTTGTCAACATGATTGCGCTCATGTCTTTATAGCTGTGCCTTGCAAGACTTGTTAGTCCCGCCCCAAAGTTTAGCCCGCGAGTACGTACACTTGACCCACCGCATCGCTGGAAAATGGAGCGTGGCACAAGTTCTCGGATCCGGAAAAGTTCACAGCAATGGCTGACCCTTGAGATACATGCTGACCCAAGGTCGAAGATCACATGCGGCTAATATAAAAAAAATTTCGCGTCCCACGAGCGGAAAACAACAAAAAACTCGACACACCAAAAGGGCTTGCAATTGATTGGGGATGCGTGCACATGAGAACCGCTGGGTTTCTGAATGCATCTCCGAGTTTAAGCGTCATGGTCATGTACGGGATCAACGATCGTATAGTGTATCGTACACCAGCGGTGCTGAGGCTGGATGTAGAGAAGCCAACAGCGTCGTGTATCCACCGTTTCCGTGTACGGATGTGAAAAGGGTGGGGTGCCGAAATTGGGGTTCGGATTCGCTTTCCGAAAGAACAGCTGCAGAAGCAGGCTTGTGGCGGCCAAGCACTGGCCTCAAGATGGCCCCTCGCCTGATAATTCTAACAAAAAACAACGAACAATAAGAATGGAAAAGTCATGAAAAAAGGGTGGAACCAAAAGTCAAAACAACAGACCAGAACTGACCCAGGGAATGGAGACAAAAACGAAACCAAACATGGGAACACAAAAACAAAAAGAAATCAACATAAAACAAACAAAAGCTGCCAGGGCCAGGGCTTCAGTGGGGACAGGTTCAAAGCAGGACCAACCTGGACAAGCAATCTGTCAATGCCGTGAGGGTGGGATTTGTGCTCCGTCCGAAGGGGCCTCCATCCTGGAAAAACACAAACTCCCTGAAGCGTCTGGAAAAAATGTGAACAGCGTGGGAAAGTGGGACCAAAAATGAAAAAAAATGAACCACAATCAAAAATAGATGGATCGGGGCCGCACGGGGACCATGGGAAGAAATGGAACAAAAAAATCAAATGCCAAGTGCACCCTTCAACCAAATCGGAAAGACATTGAAGTCAGAATGCCACGGGATTCCAATCCAGTTTTTCCGCCTCCCCATTATCTCAATTGCGTGTTTGATTGCCTGAGTGCCTCGATTCCATCTGCAATCGCCATAAAAATACCATTATCTATAATTTCCCGAAGTAATATCGTTAACAGCATCGGGACATCATAACACTGGCCAATGAAGACCGATGGCGGTATCGCCGTTTGACCGACGAGACAAAATTCTCTCTCTGGAAGCCCTCCATGAATGCACTCTGGGGTCACGCAGAAATCTTGTGCTGGCCGTTTCAGCATGTGGAACACAAACCCCTCGAACTCAGCCCGGTGGAAGCTCGGGCTTTCTATGTTAACATTCGGTAAACCTGTGGCTGTAGTAAAGGACTGCGGACTTCACCCAACCACTGAACTGGACCCTACACAAGGTTTGACGGTTCAGGGTCTGGGGACGTGGGGGTTCACGATGTAATACGGCTTGAGGGGCTGACTAAGCGGATCAGAACACTACCTAGAGGGTCATACCCTACCCCTTTTTAGGTTACCTAGATTATGGTTAGGATCTCCTATACAGAAAAGTAGGTACCTAAAAAAGGGGTAGGGTATGAGCCTATAGGTATGTAAACAGTTTATACACAGAGGTGCCGATACCTTAATTGGGGCATCCAACTTATTACCCTACGCACGAATCACAACATACTCAGCAGTCCCTGACCATTAAGCCGGAGACGTAAGCATGCATGGTTGGGGTATCGGGCTTCAGGTGTTGAAGGCTTACGGGGAAGGGCAGAAGTATGATCACCGCCATCATAGTTTCAACCCAACATGTTACTTCACCCTAAAACCCTCGACACCTGACTGCTCCAAGGCCTGATACCGTCATGAGATAACGCCCGAAAATGAAAAGGCGGAAGCGCCCAAACAAACACCCCCCTGGACCCAAATCCCAAAGCCCAGAACCGCATCAACCCTTCCAAAGCCCACAAAACTCTGAGCCCTACAAGCACCAAAGGTTCCGGTCGGGCTGCTTTGGGCTTTCCTTGCCACCGCTTTTGAAAGCCGCCTCCCGATGCCAGGGTTTAGGGTCTCTTAGGGTCTCAGGGTTAGGATTTACGGGTTTAGGGGTTTAGGTTTCCTAGGTTGGAGGATTTGCGGTGAGGCTCAAAGTTCGCGGCCTGCGGAGGTCTTTCTTCGCGACTTACGTGTCTGGCCAGCCCTCAACTTTGGGGTTTTGAGCTCTGTTGAATGCAGATTCAGACCGTGATGCCAAAAGGTGACCCCGGTGGAACCGAACTATGAATTGATAATCTTCTGGCTTCTGCGTTGTTGGCATGTAACCCCCAAAACCTTGCACCCTAAATCCCTAAATCCACAACCCCTACGCCCGAAAAACGCTGAACCCCAAACCCAAGAAGCCATTCGCAGAGTTGAAGGCCTTGGAGAGATGCATAAAAGCCGCTGGCAGCAACCTTAGATCCACGCAGGGTCTAGGATTTAGGGTTTAGGGTTTAGGGGTTTAGGGTTTAGGATTTAGGCCTGCGTTTGTTAAGTTGTGTTGGGGTTCGGGGTTCAGGGTTCAGGTCTTAGGGTTTTTGACGGTTTGTCAAGGTCCGAGATTGAGGCTGGCAGGGGCTCTCTCTACAGTAGAAGCCCGGCTTGGGGTTAAGGGTTTTGGGGGTTTAGGAGTTTAGGGTTTAGGGTTTGGGGGTATCTAATATGAAGGCCTTGATCATTAGAATAGGGTTTCGGGGCCCATTATACTATAGTTATGGTAAGGAACCCCCAAATGGTATATAAAGGCCTTGATCATTAGAATAGGGTCTCTAATATAAAGGCCTTGCCCTGGGCATCAAAATAGCCCCAAAGCCTTATATAGCATGGTCTTTGGGCCCAAAAAGCCTTAATATGTGAGTCCTTAGATTCCTAGGGTTGATCATTAGAATAGGGTTTCGGGGCCCATTTTACTATAACTACAATAAGGAACCCCCAAAACCTGGGAGCTAGGATTAGGGGGACCCTTGGGGATGTAGACTCTCTCAGTAAGGTCCCCTTTAAGAGAGCCAGAAGTAAGGTTAAGAAGGGTCCCCTTTAAGGGGTCTCCCGAATACTCTAGTAAAATGGTATTGGCAATTATTTAGGGTTCAGGCCCCTGAACTAAACCTCGAAGCCCCGACACTCCTCAGCCAGGGTGCGGGTTTACGAACGAGCCCCCTGTGTCTCCAAACTGGGTTCTTGTTAAAGGAATTACGTAAAGGTTCTTGGGACTTAGTAACTAGGGTTATAATTAGGGCAACTGTACTTATAACTACATATAACCCCAATTAAGGTACTTATAACCTACCTTACTAAGTCCCATGATCCTCCGAGTACTTTGAGTTACGAAAATAAAGACACCACATTATTTACTATAGATCCCTATTATGGTGGCTTCAATAAATCCTTTAACAAGAACCCAGCAGATGAGAATACTATCTCTAATGACCCCTCGGGTTAGTACAGTTCCTTGAAACCCCCGACGGTTCTAAACTCATTCTTCCCCTAAACCCTACACCCTGAGCTCTAAATCCTCAACCCTACACCCTGAACCCCGAAAACCCTAAACCTGTAAACCCAGAACCTGAAACCCTCAACCCTCAACCCTAAACCCTGAACCTTGAAAAAAAACTACACCCTCAACCCTAAACCTTAGACTCTAAACCCTAATAGAGGTTTCGGCTTTAAAGCCTATCCGGGGCGGCCACATGCAGACCAGCACGGTGGCGGTCTCGATGATGAAGGAGCGTCCTCCCGCCGGGATGGCCTGCGGTGGAACTTCAGAGACGCTAAGGAATGGGGCTTTTGGCTTAGGGCTTAGGACTTAGAGGACCTAGAGGGCCTAGGGCTTCGGGTGTTTAGGGTTTAGGGGGTTTTAGGGTTTAGGGGTTTTAGGGGTTTAGGGGTTTTAGGGTTTAGTGGTTTTAGGGTTTAAGGGTCTTAGGTCTTAGGGTTGAGTTATGCCTCACAAAAGCCTCCGGTCCAGAAGCCTTCTCCCCACCCATCTCGGCGAGGACATAATCTGCCACGCACACGACGATGGTAATGCCGGCTAGCAATCCGGTCACCTCGGCGGTTCAGGGGGTTAAAGGGGGCGAAAGGGGGTTAAAGGGGTTGTGAGGGATAAGGTGATTTAGGGGGTTTAGGGGGTGACAGGGGTTTAGGGGGTTAAGGGGGCTTATGGGCTTAAGGCGGTTCAGGAAGTTAAGGGGGTTCGGACAAAGGGGGCAAAGTGCAAGAGTTTTAGACGGGCGTCTCAGAAAGGCCTTATAAGAGTTTTACGTGTGTTTGAGGGGCCCCTGCCAAAGAGCCAACCGCGCTTTCATTAGGGAATATACCCTAACATACACATGGGCACTTGCTCCGGCCTGAGGTATATCCACTACTGAAGGAGCATAGATAGGGTGGTCTCTGGAAGGCCACCTTCTGTATGGAACCCTGGTTCACCACCCGTCTAGCGGAACCGTTGCATTTAGCAAGCCCTACTTGCGGGTCCCTTTTTGACGGGTCCATGTCCACCTTACACCCGACTCATGGACTCCTCCAATACGAGCCGTTGTGAATAGGGTTTAGGGTTTAGGGTTTAGGGTTTAGGGTTTAGGGTTTAGGGTTTAGGGCGGTTTCAGCGCTGTCCTTCGGGCAAGTAGACAGCGCCCTATACCTCAAACTGCAAGCGGTGTTGAACCTAGTAGGAACCTCTTGTCGAAGGTACCTTGAACCAATCCGTCCTGTGGCATCTAAGGATGAAAACCCGGATAAGGACTGCTTTAGGGTTCAGGGCGCAGGGCTTAGGGCTCAGCGTTTAAGGCTTCGGGTTCAAGGTTTAAGGTTAGGGTTTGAGGCACCTGAAGGAAGAGGGTCTATTCGTCGCGCGTCCCCCGTTACTACCCGGCCAAGATAGCATGATCCCTTTGCGAAGCTACTATCAGGAGTTCAAAAAGACAGCCGTACCTAAGCCCTTAAACCCTGGACCCTAAACCCCCTGAGCCCCTAAACCCTATAGATCCCTTATGGAAACCTTAAAGCAACCCTAAACCCCTAAGGGTTCCCTAAACCCTAAACCCTAAACCCCAAACAGGCAAACAACTAAGCCTGAGATCCCCACCCCCAAAACCCTAAACCCAAAACCCTACAGTATTACCCATAAAGTTTGAAACCGGATTAAGGCCAAATAGTGCCGGGATTCCCTATACATTACTCTTAAGGATTGCCGCTATTGGGTTTCCAACTTTTAGGCTTCTTCTGTAAACCCTAAACTCCCTAAACCCTAAACCCTAAACCCCCTAAACCCCAACTTTCTAAACCCCTAAACCCCCAAACGCTAAACCCCAAACCCTATACCCGCAAAGTCCGATTCAGACCCCATCTTCCTGAAATCTCTATACCCTTATAGAATCCCTATAGATCCCTTTAAAAGGACCCTTAAAGGAACCCTTATAACTACCCATCAACCTCCAAGCCCATCTTCCTGAAATCCAGGCGTCTCGAAGTTTGTCCGCGGTCGTCTTTGCAGCGAACAGGGAAGGCTTCCTTACCCGCAGAAGCTGGGGTTTAGGGTTTAGAAACCCCATAGCCTCAGTCCTGAAAAGTAATGTATAGGGAATCCCAGCACTATTTGGCCTTAATCCGGTTTACAACTTTCTGGGGTTCACTGTAGGGGTTTAGGGGTTTGGGGTTTAGGGGTTTAGGGTTTATAAGGTTTAGGGTTCAGGGGTTTAGGGGTTTAGGGGTTAGGGAAGGTTTAGGGGTTTAGGGTTTAGGGACGTGCCGGTTTAGGATGTCGGCTTTAGAATACGGTAGTCATGCGGAACTCTATGGGGACATATTCAAGCTGAGGTCGAAGGCTTAGGGCTACAGAGTCCTTTAGCGTTCTTTCGACCTCCATAAAGACATGATCAAACTGAGGTCCAGGGCTGCGGGTTTAGATGCTTAGAGGTTTGGGGTTTTCGGTTAAGACCACAACCGCAGGGCCTTGTAAAACTCCACGGTAGGGGTTTTTGAGCCACAGAGACCCTTCAATTGAACGATTAGGCTGTTGGCCACCCTAACTACTGCCAGGGCTGAGAAACCCAAAAACCCACCCAATAAGGTTGAAACCTAAACACCAAAACCCTGAACCTTAATCTAGACCTAAGAGTAACCTAGGAATAAAAAGGGTGCCCTTTTGGGGTTAAAGGGGGTTATAGGGGAACCTTAACAGGGCCTACTCTGGGTCCTAGTAATTAGCACGTGAAAGCCCGGGGTTTCAGCTTTGGGTTGATGGCTCATGGGTCAATGCCCCGCTCTCGGCCCCCAAAACCCTCCAAGAAGAGAAAGCTCCACCCAAATCCTGGAACCCAACACGACAAACGAAACCCTAAACCTTCATTTCAACGAAAGTTAAACCCTGAACCGTAACCGCAGACCAGCAACGCCTAAACCCTACACCCTAAACCCCTAAACCCTAGACCCTGCAACAAGAGACTGCGACGCCCAGTGGCTTGGTAGTCTGGCAGGAGGCAGGTTTCATGCTCCCGAATTTCCTGGGCTTCGGGTTTAGGGTTTAGGGTGTGAGTCTTGGTTTAGGGTTCGGGACAGAGAGTTTAGGAAATAGGGTTTCAGGGTTTCGGAGTTGTGTCAGTGCTTTTCGAAAGCCTGCTCCGGGTTGCTACAGCTTTCTCAAGGGTCTCTAAACCCTAAACCCTAAACCCTAAACCCTAAACCCTAAACCCTAAACCCTAAACCCTAAACCCTAAACCCGTGTGGGATGTTTAGGAATGCTCATAGCTTCAGAGCCTTCAGGGCCTCATGGTTCAACTATACCTTAAACTACCAAGCCCTCCTTTTTTTTGTAGGTTCTTATTATAAGCCCTAATATGGAATTTATAGGGACCCTACAAAAAAGTAGGTTTTGGTAGGTTAAGGTACCCTAAATCCCATGTAGAGGTTTGTTTATCAACGCGGTTCGGATAGTACTAAATTGGTTTATGGTTTAGGGGAATCTCTCCTTGTCGGGGTACCCGCTTCGATTGTCCCCCCTGCAGACACATACTTACTGAAATAGAGGGGCCTGAATGAGTAGAACAGGGTTTGGGAGCATACTATACTATAACCAACATTAGGAACCCCGAAATAGTATTGTTAATTCCTAGTAGTTAGGCCCCTTCATTAATTACTTCGGTGATTCAGGAACTTCGAGACCGGAACATAGATCATGCAAGACTGATGGACTAACTAAACCCAAAAGCACTGTAGGGCTTTGTAGATGCTGTTTATCCGCTTGTAGACAGGCCTGATAGCCATGAATAAATTGGGGGTTTGGGTGATGAAGTTACACAAAAACATAGTAACTTGCATCGGACACTCCTACCAACTATTCAGTTCCGTAAACTACGTAGTCCCCTGCCACGTGTGTCCCATTTCTACTCGCAAAGCCCCGTGCCCGGACGAAAAAAAAAAACAACTTGCGACTTCAGCTTCAAAGGTTTGCGGCTTCAGCGTTTTGAGGGCTTTCGGGCTTTGGCGCGCTTCGATTCAGCTAGCATACTCTAGGGGCCTTAATAGTCAGAAAAGGGTTTAGGTGCCCATTATACTATAACTATAAGGAACCCCCGTAATAAAATTGGTAATTAGTTAGGCCCCTATATTACTATATTACAGCATAGTACCCTGGCCCTTACAGGTCCCTTATGGTAGCCCTTATAGACCCCTTTAAAGGGCTTAGGGTCTTGACATTGGAAATAAGTTCGGCCCCTATATTAGCCACCATCAACTCCCCGTCCAGCCCAAATGGACACTCACGAAGCCTTCAGGGAGACCAACATCCCACCCCACACTCCAAAACAACAACAACAGCAACTGATGGGAGGCCAAAAGGGGACTTAAGACTCTTGGGGTAGGGATTCCTTGATATGAACCCGATTATGGGAAGCCTAATCAACACTAAACGCCCATAGGCTAAAACCACTTTTGGGCTCCTAAGAACAACAACAAGAAGAAGAACAAGTAAAGGCGAGTTTCTTGTAGACGAAGCTTCACGGTATGGATGAGTTCCTTTGGGGGTACGGATGGTAGAACTTATCTTTGAGGTGCCACGAAGGCAAATGCCATTCGAAGGCAGCTTGAACCAGGGATGGCTGCGAGAGTTGGGATTGAGGCTTCAGGGTGCGAGTCTTACCAGGTTTAGCACAACCTGCATAATCAAAACAGCGTTTGTGTGAGTGCAGATTGTAGTAAGGTTGCAGTATCGGGACTTATAAGAACTGTTGTAACTCAGCATCCAGACCTCCAGAGTCTCAGACACACACATGCTCTACAGGACTTCTGGTTTTTGGGTTGTGGGCTTTTTTTGATTTAGGCTGGGGGGGCTCAGGGCTTGGGTGTTTAGGGCTCAAGGTTTGGAGGTCCAGTGCTTAGAGTACTTGGAGGATCATGAGACTTAGTAAGTCAGGTTATAAGTACCCTTAATTAGGGTTATAAGTAGTTGTAAGTACAGCTACCCTAATTACAACCCTAGTTACTAAGTCCCATGATCCTTTAAGTAGAGTATCCGGTGAACAAGATGCACGGTCAATGCTGGCTAGACCTAAGAGTAGTCTAGGAATAAAAAGGGTGCCCTTTTTGGTTTAAAGGGATTTATAAGGGAACCCAAACCTCAAAAAAGGGAATAAGGGCCTACTCTGGGTCCTAGTAGGGCTCAGAAGGGGTGCACAGGGCTTAGGGACCAAGGACTCTAAAATCTCGGTCTTTTCCGCATGCCCAAGTGACATGGGACGATCCAACGGCGAGCTGTACGGATCGCTTGAAAGGAGAGAGCGCCAGGCCCCATCCACCCCGATCAAGAGTAATGTAGGAACCTGATTAAGAAACCTTGGGCCTTTATTAGGGTTCCTTTTATGAAACCCACTATTTTGGGGGTTATATGTCCAGGGTTTCTTAATCAGGTTCCTACATTACCTACACAAGTGGTTCAGGCTTACGGTTTAGAGTTCAGGGTTTTGCGGCGTATGTCGGCGTATGTGTACTGAAAAGCATGCTGATACGTGCCATAAGTAACAACACAACTACATGTACGCTATGTATTCGGGTTTGTGTGCTTTAAAGTGATGGGTTTAGAGCTTAAAGTTTTTGTTTGCTGAAAGGCAATACAACTGGAACATCAGCAGCTTCAGGCCCTCTATGCAGCGTTTAGGTAATATCCGAAATTTAAATTCCAAAATTTCCGAAGTTCACTGTCGGGTGCACGGAAGGCCAAACCCTAAACCCTAAACAACAGTGGCCTAATCTACGGAGCTAGCTGAGGCTTGCCCTCAGACGTTCGCGATGAAGACCTTTGCAGCTGGTCTTACGTTGAGACATGATGCAACGGACCATTGATAGTCGAAAAAGCGTTCCTTTCACAGTTCCCTGAACGAGGTTCTAAAAAGGATCCTAGAAGGTGTCTATGATGTAAGGAGCTACGGTTTTGTGTGGATGATTCTATACGACAACAAGGAACTCTCAGCACTGGACTGGCAATTACATGTAATTGTTGAGAAGTCTATGTTAGGTATTCTTGCTGCAAGATCATCGATAGGACACGCGAGGTATACTTTCACCAATATTCCTTAAGAAGTCCCCCAAGACCCCAATGCAAACCCCCCTTCGCTTATGCAAGTCTAGCAAACTAGTTAGGACCTCCAAACTACCCTCCAGCATGGCTTGGACAATCTAGGTCAAAACACGAAGTGTCCGACTGACAGAAGCAGATACTACACAGTGTGACTTTGAAGCACCGTTTAAAGGACAAACTAGAACCATGAAATCGCCGCAGGACTGGGCGGCGGCGGGGGCGGTCTCACTAGATGCCGGGCGATCTGAACAGACGCGTAAGAGGACTCCCCAAAGTACCCATTAGCCCAAAACCCCCCAAAAACCCAAACCCCAAATACTGTTAAACTGTGTTACAAAACCCAATGAACTCCTTCTACACGCCTCTGAAGGAACCCTTCAAAGGAACCCTCAAAGGAAGCCGGAAGCCTAAAACGGAACCCTTGTGGGCCCTGCCTGCCCGGGTTGCACCCCAGGAGGCACTTGAACTTGGCACTGCTGGCCCCCGGGTCCCTGCACAAGCAGAAACCTCAGTGACTCAGCTGAAACGGGGACAGTGGTTTAGGATTTAGGGCTTTAGGGTTTTAGGGTTTAGGGAAACCTCAGTGACTCAGCTGAAAAGGGGACAGTGGTTTAGGATTTAGGGCTTTAGGGTTTTAGGGTTTAGGGAAACCTCAGTGACTCAGCTGAAAAGGGGACAGTGGTTTAGGATTCAGGGCTTTAGGGTTTTAGGGTTTAGCACTGAGGAGCCGTGCTAATACAAGCCTTTGTTCAAATGATCAGGTATTGGAATCCGTGCGAAACGGGACTATGAATGAGGGTGTTTGTCTATCATAACTACAGGTTAACCTTTGGGGCTTCATATGGATGAGCGTAATTACCCCAGAGCACGAGTGTCCCCAGCACAAGGCGTGAGACCCGCAAAAGGGTTAAAGGTTACCTACTCTACTACCAGAGCAACCACAAGGATGCGAACAAAAACAACAACAACTGGGTGTTGTCAAAATGATGGTTCCTTTTTGGGCCCCTTAATATAATACGGCACCTATGTTTAGGGTACCCCCAAAAACGGACCATGATTTTGACAACTACCCAACTGCAAAATCCCAGAAGCCCGAAGTCGGAAACAGGCCTTGCTTGGTTCATCGACTACAGGCCTCTGGTATTGAAGTTCTACTCGGAGGCCTCAAAAGGTGGGATGAAGGTAGGGAGGATTAAGGATCGCTTATACAAGGACTCTTATTTGGGAATATCCCACCTACCTTCATCCCACCTGTTCAGGCCACCGATCTATTCCTTGAAAACTTAAGGCGTCCTGCGCTCTCTCTATAGAGGTCCCAAGCTCGCGGGCACTCTTACGAAGAGGGCGTATAACCAGAAACATCGACCGCTTAATTTTTACGGTTGAGCATTTAGGGGGTTTAGGGCTATCAATAACTACTCTGGTTGAAAAACTTGGGGTTTAAGGTTATCACTATTCTGGTATAAAGTCTATTCCTTACGCAGAGGGTCCAAGTACTCCCTCTTACACGACTTTAGGGTCTTTTTCGGTATCAAAAACCATGAATACGGACTTCTGGGACCTTTAGGGTTACTTACTGGGTGTTGGGTTCCCAGGACAAGAAGCTGACCGGGCTGGACATTCGGAGGGCACGTCACCTGCGGCAAAAGGCTGGCGTACCGCAGGTTCCTGAAGGTTTAGAATACGATTCCTCTAATTCCTAAGGACCCTTAGGAGGCATAGGGGGAGGAGGGGGGGGGGGGTATAGCGGGCCGTAATGCCCACAATCAGGACATATAGCAAGGAAGTATAGTCCCATACCCTGCTCCTCCTTACCCCCCAAGGGTCCCTGTGACGAAAGTGCTCCTCATAATAGCTCTAGGCCTGGTTCTACTTGAATAAGCCCCAAAACTCTATTGAAAATTGTTCAGGCCCGTATATTGCGGTAAGGGCTTGAAGGTTTTGAATAGATTCCCTTGGAAGGCTTCCCATTTCGGGTTCGAGAAAGGATGTGGGTAGCTTTGGGGGTTTGGGGGTTCTAGGAGCATAGGGGCTTCTATTGTGTCTGGGCGTAGGGCTGAATCTTTCATCGAAGGGCGTTCTTCAGTCCCGTACCAAGGAGGTAGACATTTGCATTACCAAATGATCTCCTCGTTGGCTGATCTCGAAAGTCGAATAGGCTTAGAAACTCATCGACCTCTGTGCGTACAAGGCTGTGCTGGATACTTTTGTCCTCATTAGCCATGTCCGCACCAATAATATCTAATGTGGGAACCTGATTAAGAAACCTTGGGCCTTGATTAGGGTTTTTTATTTGAATCCTACAATGTTGGGGATTATAGGCCCAGGGTTTCTTAATACCCTTTTCGAATCCCTATAGATCCCTTTTTAAGGGACCCTTAAAGAAACCCTGATAACTCCCCATGAACCATCGTACTTTAAGTATAATAAGGAACCCCAAAATAGTACAGATAGTATCCCTTATAGTAACCCTTCTATAGAGCCCTTTAAAGGAGCCCCTATTCTAATTATTAAGGCCCTTGCATTAGACAATTACCCAGAGACTCCAATACCCCCTAATTAATGAATATACCATAACTTATAGTAGGATCCCTAAATCATAAAATATGATTTAAGGCGGAATATTCCTTAATTAAAGGATATTGGAGTCTCTGGGTAGAGCCTTTTATATCCACCGGGCCTGGACTTGCTGTGCCACCTGCACTTGCGGGGTCGGCCCGGTCATGAAAGGCTCGTCGATCCTGTGCTTTTTAAGGTTTAGGGATTAGGGTGTAGGGTAGGGCCTGCTAGGGGATTTGGATTTGAAGAGGGCTTCATCTGGTTTTTCCTGCAGTTATATGGGGTTTGAAGAGAGTCTATGGGTGTTTGACGTGCCTTTTTCAGGTTTATTCAACGGCTCCTCTGAGGAGTAGATTAAGGGGGGTCCTATGAGGGCACCCTGGGGCACTTCTAAACCCGAAACCATCCAACCCTAAACCCAAAACCCCGCAGCCGAAACGCCTAAAGCTTGAACCCTAAACCCTAAACCCTAAACCGTCGGATTTACAGAGACTTAAAGTGTCAGAGTCCGAACGATGGATCCCAAAGTCTTGGGCGTAGGGTTTTGAGACGTTTCGAGCTTACCTGCCCAGAGATCCCAATACCCCTTAATTAAGGAATATACCTTAAACCATAATATGAAGGCCTCTATAATTTAAGGTACATTCCTTAATTGAGGGGTATTGGGATCTCTGGGTGTAGCCCCAAAGAGAACTGCCTCATGCAAAGGAACCATTCTAAAGATTTCTGAGGAACCCTGAACAGGTAGGTTCTTTAACCCCAAACGTTAAAACCCTAAACCCTAAACCCTAAACCCCTAAACCCTAAACCCCTAAACCCCGAATCCCCTAAAAGCTGAAACACTTAAACCCTAAACAAACCCTTTGAGTGGAATCCAGAAGTCCTTGGAGAGCGTGGATTGCTTCGGTACTTCTTCCGGAGGCTGTGCGCCAAGAACACAACGGCTGCAGCGGCCTCGGGGAATTGGAGAGAGAAAGGTGCAAGGGGGGGGGGGGGCCTTTAAGGTTTCAGGATTTAGGGCACCCGTAAACCCTAATCCCTGAACCTAAACCTTAATATTGCAATGAACCCTCATACGCTAAACGAGGCCACAAACCCTGGTTCAGGGCTGTGGGTTCAGGGTTTACGGGTTTAGGGTCATAGTTTAGGGTTAAGGGTTTAGGGTAACTCTGGTTCAGGATTTAGGGGTTTGGGGGATGCGAGTTATGGGTTTAGGGTACGTCATGCCATGAAACCCTAAAAGGAAGCAAAACACTGCAAAGAATCCCAAACAGGACCCTGTAGACCCCAACCAAGCCCACTGAAACTGCTTCCAGGCCCGATAAGACTCGGAACCCTAAATCACTGCAAGACCCTACTAGAAACGTCAAGTAGCCTGCGAAACTCCCACGAACTGCTTTGTAACAACAACAGAGCGCTAAGCAACAGCTGCTCCAAAACACACACTTCCTTCGACAAACGAGGAGTCTAGCAAAGAACCCAACATCCACTGTGTCCCCGGGCCAAAAGCAGCACGATCCCGAAGATTGGACGCGCCATCAGCCAGGCTGCCCCAATCACCTCAGGGTTGTGAAGGGAACTCCAGACAGTTGGAATATGGAACCAGGGTAGGATACCTTATAATTTACCATAAAGTGCTTAGGATAATCATATTCCAACTTTCTGGCTGTTACTTTATTGAGGTTTGCAAAGGGTTTGGTGAAGGCTTTTCATGGCTTATACCGGCTTTAGACTTTGGTGGTTTAGGCTTATTCAAGGTTTTTGGGCTAGGGCTTGTTCGGGTTTGGACTTAGACTTTGAGCATTTCCTGTTGCCTAGACCTAAACTGAAATTCTAAGCCCAGCAGACCTTAAACACTGAAACTCTAAGCACGTTCGCTCGGTTTGTAATGTTGGACGCTGGGCCTCAAAACGGAAATCCCGGAAGCCAAGGTTCAAGTCGGTTTAAGTGACTGGGGTTTACAAAGGGTGCTTAACACTAGTTGTACGAGGGTTTTATGAGATTCCGGCATTGCTTCATTCCCTGAGCATCCGCTATTGATTAGAATCAATATTTTTGGATAAATTTCCATTGATATTGATTTTGATGGCCTATATTGATTATATCAATTATATTGATATTGATTTTTTCTCTGTTGAAGTATATATTTTGGCATATTTATTTCTATTGATTTTACTGATACTTCCGATTGATTCTGGTATTGATTTTTTCTTGCTCCCTGATCCCTCGAAACAGGGATCGATTTCAAACATATGTAGCCCGAAAACATGAGTGCATGTGCACTGCCGGCGGCCTGCAACTTTGGCTCAAGTGTGCTGCTCCCTGCAGCGAGGTGGGAGCAGCTGGTGTAGGCTGCTGGAGCTCCGAAGGAGTGGACGGCAAGTTTGTTTCTGCCCTAGAAACAGGGTGGAGAGCGAAAACTTAAGGACCGTTTTTTGCATCCTGGGAAGGGAAAGCTTTCTGCCCTGGAAACAGGGTGGAAAGCATGGCCGCCAAGGGGCGAGGAGGGGCCAGGCACACCCCGAAGCCTTTCACAGACGAAGGTGTGCTGTTGAAAGTGCTGGGGGACCACAAGGACCTCATCAAGGACCTGGGACCCTACGAGCTAATCAGTCGGTCTGGTGCAGTGGACCCAAAGGGTCTGGTTCGCAACCTGGACCTGCTCAGGGACCTCCTGAGGGCCGAACCGACCGGTGAGGTCCACACCCAGCCGATGAGGCAGGCCCTGCTGAAGCTCATGAGAGATGACCCGACCGTGAACACTTCTTCTTTCAACGGGTCGGTGTGGAGCAACCTGAAAGGGGAGCGACTCGGCTGCTTGCTGAACCACACACGAAAATGGGCGAGGGCAGAGGTTGAGGGAAAGAGCAATGCAGCCAGCAAGCTCACGGCTTTCGAATATCGGAAGCTGAAAGAGCTTCTGGACCTGTTCCAGGACAAGGAGGTCCCCGAAACGGGACCCAGGCTGGCCTTGGAAGACAGGAAGCCGCCTTCGAAAGAAGGCAGGCAGCTGCGGCCCAAGCCTTCCCTGGACTCGGACGGTTTCCCGAAAATGTTTGGGGAAAGCCAGGCAAGCAGTCCCGAGAGTGCAGACGAAGCTTTGCCAAAGGGACGAGCTCCCTGCTCGGTGTCTTTCTTGAAGAGAAGAGCTGGGCAGAGCTTAATGGTAGGCCAAGAGGAGCCAGAAGAGGAGGCTGCTGATGCCTTGAAAGAGGCAATGGGCCTTGGTGGGACGGGTGCTGCTGCTGGAGGCAGCAAGCCTGCAAAAGGCAAAGGCAGGGGCAGAGGAAGGGGACGAGGAAGGGGCAAAGGCAAGGCAAAGAAAGGTCGGGGAAAGGGCCAAGAGCCGAAAGAGCAGCCCTTGAAAAAGCCGGCTGCCTCTCAGCCCATTCCCGGCCACGTGGGCGGCTGGAAAGCAGTCAGGAAGACCAAGGCCAGCAAGCCGGCCCGGTGCTACCTGACTGGTACCTTGGGGCCGGCTGGCAAGCGACTCCTGATCACGGAGGTGCCGGAAAGATGGACAAGCCAGTACGAGAAGGTCATCGACATCATCAAGAAAGCCTTAGAAAAGGATCCGAAAATGACGAAGGACCAGGCCCAGGCAATGAGGACCAGCCTTTGCAAAAAATACCCCTGAGAGGGGGTCTGCAAGAAGCTCTGCCCTTGAGAGAGGGTCTTGAACCCTCGAAACAGGGTCGACTGTGCAGCTGCCCGCCCTGGAAACAGGGTGGGCAGAAGTAGCTTTTTTGCAAGAGGCCCTGCTGGCCACGTCTCACCCTGACTTTACCGTTCAGGCCACCGGGAGCTAAAAAACAAGGGTTCGGGGATGGAAATACTTATTATGGATATATATATATATATATATATATATATATTCCATATTATATATATATATATATATTTATATTTCTTCCTTATTTTCTAATTTAGAAGAGTGTTCTGGAATCTGTTTTTATTATACTTTCTTTAAACGGTGCTAAACGAGAGGAAAGGACAAATTTGGGTGGGGGGGGGGGCAGGGCGGCAGAAAAATCGCACACACACACACACACACACACACACACAAACATGTGTGGGGTCTGGGGTCTTAGGGTGAAGCCTTTTAGAGTTTGGGGTTTCCCTTGAAGCTTTAAACCCCGGCCGGTAAGCTCGTAAATTTTATAGTGTCGCAGCTATATATATATATAGATATATATATATAGGTATATAAACTTAAGCCCCGATTCACTTGGAGCCCTTGAAAAAGGGCCTCCAGCAATAATTTAATGCCCTAGTCACCTGGAGCCCTTGAAAAAGGGCTTCCGGTAACAGGCTTCCCAAAATATATCCCTTAAAGAACCAATACCAAAACCTTTCAGCCTAGCCACCCCCAGAGTAAGGTAGCCTAGAGGCCCAACAAAGCTTTTAAAAGTAGAAGCCTGGAGACCCCAAAAGCCTAAAGGTTCGAGGTACCCCTAGACACCCTGAAGCCCAAGCCCAAGAGAAAACTCCGGTGTGTCCGCTGCCGTTGGGCTTAAGAGCTCGCCAGCGAGCAAGAGGTGGGGCACCCTGAGCAGGATGCCCGCCTCAAGGGCAGTCCCGGGAGTCAAGAATAGGCAAGGGAAGCCTATAGGTACCGGGACTAGCTCGAACAAGAGGAAGGCAGACCGCCTTGCAAGGTTCGGCCCAGGGTCGGACCAAGGAGGTCTGCAGTACTCTCAAGCAGCTGCAGCTGAAAGGGAGGAGGCTGCAGCTGAAAGGGAGGAGGAGAAGCTCGACCCTAGAAATAGGGTCGGGCAGTGGTGGACCCCTGAGCAGTGGAACCAGTGGGAAGAAGACTGGCGGGTCTGGCACCAGCACCGCGACTCTCGAAACAGAGTCGAGGAGGCCAAGTGGTGGGAAAAAGACCACGACGACGGCGAGGACTCCAGGTGGTGGTCGGGTGACAAGCCGCAGGAGCCAGCAAGCTACAGTAGCGGTGCTGGCTGGGCAGAGCCTTGGACCAGAGAGTGGGGGTCAAGCTGGGGAAAGGAGTGGGAGCCCTACTCGAAACAGTGGGGCTCTCAAGAGCCTTACAAGGCAAGCCCTAGAAACAGGGCTGAGGAGACTGAGGACGAGCTGATGGAAGCGAGGCCCGAGCCGGTAGTTTTGAGGGAAGCCCGGCGAGGAAGGCGGCACCGAGCCACCAGCACTTCCTCCGAGGCCAGCCGCTCCCGCACACCACCACGGCTGGACCCGGTGCCACCTGAAGGCATCGAGATAGTGGGTGCGAAGAGCTCGAACTCTAGCGAGCAGCCCTCGAAAGAGGAGCAGCAGCCGAAGCCCTTGAAAAAGGGGAACTCTAGCGAGCAGCCCTCGAAAGAGGAGCAGCAGCCGAAGCCCTTGAAAAAGGGGAAGCAGCAGCAGCCCAAGGGATCTGTCGGCAAGGCAGTTCAGGGCAAGGGCAAGGCTGTTGCTGCCGAAGGTGTGCCAGCAGCCAAGGAGCCGGAGCCGGACACAGCTCCCGGCCCTAGAAATAGGGCTGATGAGGTGCTCCAGGCGGCCAAGCTGTGCTTGGACTGGCACCAAGTCCTGCAGCTGGGGAAGGAGAACGAGATCCGGCCGATGTGGAGTGCTTCCGTGCGAGCACTCAAGCAAGCGGGCTGGGAAGTCTTTATAATCTCCTTCGTCACTCCAACTCACAACGAGGCGAGAGTGCAGGAGATGTACAGGATGCTGGAGGCAGCCAATATCCGGGACCAGGTGACTGGGGTTTGGACCTGCCCTGAAAGGGGCGGGCCAAACGGGAAAGTCGCCCTGGCAACCAGTCTTGGCTGCTCTTTGATCCTGGACGACAATCCAGTGATCCTGCAGGAAGCCCTTGAAAAAGGGTTGAAGGTGTTCGCGATCACCACGAAAAGAGAGCGGCACCAGGACCTGGCCAAGAAGCCCGGTGTGCGAGTGTTCCGAGACCTCTGTGTGGCCACGGAAGCAATTCTGTGTCAGATGATAGACTGCAGAGACTTGTAACCGCCTCGCAAGGCAGCAGGCCCTAGAAATAGGGCCTTGGGCCCTTGAAAAAGGGTCCGTGCCAAGAGCACAGTAGCCCCTAGAAATAGGGTGCTACAGTCGCAAAGCAGCCCCTAGAAATAGGGTGCTGCAACCTAGCCTCACACTGCAGCCCCTAGAAATAGGGTGCTGCAGTGTTTTTTCGGGTTTCCACAATATAGAACCCCATAACCCTAAAGGCTTAAGCTTAGGCTTTAGACCCGGGCCTCTAGGGTTAGAAGCTAAGAGCTTCTAATATGTTGTAATGCTAATATATACTATAAATTTAAACTATATATATATATATATATATATAGTAGACACTATATATATATATATATATATATAATATAGTAGCATAATTGTGGAAACCCGACGTCCAGGCCCGTCTCACCCTTCACACAGCTCGTTGTCCATCCGAGCGAAAACAGCTGGGCCCTGGGGTTTGGGGTTTGCTTTAGGGTTTAAGGGTTTCGGCTTCAAACCCTAAGCCCCACCAAAACCTTTCGCTTAAACCCTTAAACCCTAAACCCTTAACCTTATAGGGTTTGCTTTATAGGGTTTGAGGGTCTAGGCTTCAAACCCTAAGCCCCACCAAACCACTTCGCCTAAACCCTTAAACCCTAAACCCCACCAAACCCCAAACCCTTAACCTTAGGGTTTGCTTAAGGGTTTAAGGGTTTCGGCTTCAAACCCTAAGCCCCACCAAACCTTTTTGCCTAAACCCTTGAACCCTAAACCCCACCAAACCCTAAACCCTTGACCTTAGGGTTTGCTTTGGGGTTTAAGGGTTTAGGTTGTAAACCCTAAGCCCCACCAAACCCTTTTGCCTAGACCCTTGAACCCTAAACCCCACGAAACCCTAACCCCTAAACCCTAGGGTTCAGGGGCTGGCGGTTACGGTTTCTGGGGTTAGGGGTTGCTGTGTTTTTGGGTTTCTGGTGGTTACCGGTTCAGATTTTTAAGGGATAGGGTTTTAGGGGTTCAAGGTTTAAGGCTTGGGGG